CGGATGCCATCGGTAGGGCAGGATACGGTCACCTTTTCATCTAAACATGCTTATGATATAGTCGGAGTCGTGCATGGACACTCTGTTAGGCAGATATTTATCATGATTATGAAGGGTTTTGTCGTTTTTATGTTGATTATGACAGATATTTTTTGAGGATATTTTCATATTTGACGCATCAGTGACCAACACGATATCCGATACAATTCCCTCTGTTGACTGACTTGCCTTTTGCACGTGTTTGTGGCGGATGCCATCGGTAGGGCAGGATACGGTCACCTTTTCATCTAAACATGCTTATGATATAGTCGGAGTCGTGCATGGACACTCTGTTAGGCAGATGCTTATTTTGATTATGAAGGTGTTTGTCGTTTTTATGTAGATTATGACAGATATTTTGAGGATATGTTCATATTTGACGCATCAGTAACCAACACGATAACCGATACAATTCCCTTTGTTGACTGACTTGCCTTTTGCACGTGTTTATGGCGGATGTCATCGGTAGGGCAGGATACGGTCACCTTTTCATCTAAACATGCTTATGATAATTATAGTCGGAGTCGTGCATGGACACTCTGTTAGGCAGATATTTATTACGATTATGAAGGGTTTTGTTGTTTTTATGTTGATTATACATATATTTTGAGGATATTTTCATATTTGACGCATCAGTGACCAACACGATATCCGATACAATTCCCTTTGTTGACTGACTTGCCTTTTGCACGTGTTTGTCGCGGATGCCATCGGTAGGGCAGGATACGGTCACCTTTTCATCTAAACATGCTTATGATAAAGTCGGAGTCGTGCATGGACACTGTGTTAGGCACATGGTTATTTTGATTATGAAGGGGTGCTGTCGTTTTTATGTTGATTATGACAGATATGTTTTGAGGATATGTTCGTATTTGACGCATCCGTGACCAACACGATATCCGATACAATTCCCTCCGTTGACTGACTTGCCTTTTGCACGTGTTTGTGGCGGATGCCATCGGTAGGGCAGGATACGGTCACCTTTTCATCTAAACATGCTTATGATATAGTCGGAGTCGTGCATGGACACTCTGTTAGGCAGATGCTTATTTTGATTATGAAGGTGTTTGTCGTTTTTATGTTGATTATGACAGATATATTTTGAGGATATGTTCGTATTTGACGCATCCGTGAACAACACGATATCCGATACAATTCCCTCCGTTGGCTGACTTGCCTTTTGCACGTGTTTGTGGCGGATGCCATCGGTAGGGCAGGATACGGTCACCTTTTCATCTAAACATGCTTATGAGATTGTCGGAGTCGTTCATGGACACTGTGTTAGGCAGATGTTTGTTATGATTATGAAGGGTTTTTGTCGTTTTTATGTTGATTATGACAGACATGTTTTGGGGATATTTTCATATCTCTTTCAACACCAGTCAACCAGAAGTGTTTACTGCTCGGACACCGAGTTCCCAGAGACTCTTGTGTGATAGATGAAGCCAACATTTATCAAAGAAAATATCTTCTCGTAAAATATATTTGCTACTACATGTTATACACCATTTGAAAGGTCTGATCCCATGGTTTATAAATGTGAAAGTTATGTTTTTCACATTATTTAAATAATGCATTTACAACTTAATTAAGTTCGTTGTAAATAAAAAATGTAAGCTTACACGTTGTTAACATCCAGATTAAGGACCAAGGAAGCGAAAACTTGACGATTTTCGGCAAATATAAGATTTCATAAAATCCACTTACCTATTTCTGTTTTATTTTCATTGTTTACGAAATTGGAAAATCATTTTAAAAAGAATTATAAATAGTTTCTGTCATCACCCATTTCCCGATAACAGCGGCTGTCCGCTCAGTAACATGAAGAAATACCGCCGTTTTCGAGGCTTCGTATGAATAACACGTTCGTCGAAGAATGGCATATGACACATCGCTAGAAAGCTTATGCCTTCATCTACACGCCTGGTTTTTTTCGTAGTTATAACAAGCGATTTCATTGGATTAATATTGGTTTCTAATGACGCTTTCTTGCCGAAATCTGCTACAAGTTTCGATATTAGTCAATTCTGAGCACATGACCTAATGCAGTCAATCAAATTACAGCTGTGATTCCAAGCTCGTGTTTGATATATTTGAGAAGTTGGCGAAAGAATTTTGTTAAATCGTGTTATTCTGAACGTTTTAAGCATGAAATCACGATATATATTAAAAATATAAAACTTCGTGAATGTATCGTGCTAGGTTACGAGCTGTGACAAGATTTTTCATGCATATATTTTTGCATTTAACATCGTGTCCGAGCCGAGAATTCAAGGCGACGAAAACCGAGATGTCATTTGACTTACATTACACGCGATCGCACGAAATGATGGAAATAATAACTTAGATATGTAAGTTTGATTACTTTTAGATATATTTTTGTTGATTTTATTTATTACTTTGTATAATATATTTAAAGATTTGTTTAGAACGTCTTTATTTTGCTCTTTGACATGTTCGATGTTGACCCGTTGTCGAAATTTGTGTCCGAGAATTTTATTTTCAATAACATCGCGGTAAATAGTGAATAATTTTTTAATTTATCGATAAAAAATGATAAATTGAAATGGAATACGTATTTCAGACATTGTGAAATGTGATAGATTTAATAAATGAATGATATCACAGGTAGGTCCATAAAACTATATATTATTTTGACGTGACTACGGCTTGGCCGGTTAACCGGCCAACGGTGTCTGGAGACTCGATGCTTCTTGGCCGGATAACCGGCCTACGGTGTTGAAAGAGATATTTGACGCATCCGTGACTAACAAGATATCCGATACAATTACCTCTGTTGACTGACTTGCCTTTTGCACGTGTTTGTGGCGGATGCCATCGGTAGGGCAGGATACGGTCACCTTTTCATCTAAACATGCTTATGATATAGTCGGAGTCGTGCATGGACACTCTGGAAGGCAGATATTTATTACGATTATGAAGGGTTTTGTTGCTTTTATGTTGATTATGACAGATATTTTCATATTTGACGCATCAGTAACCAACACGATATATGCCACTGAAAGAAGTTATACCTGATGTTGACACTTTCAACGAAGGTCGGTCAATTTCTGTGGACCAATATTTCTGTCAATTGTATTGATTCTGCTTACATTACAGTTGTGATATAATTGATTTCATCTATTGTTTGTGTATGAACTAGAGATGCGGTGCCTGCAACGCGCGGAGCGACTGCTGGCTATTGGCATGCTGGAAACTGGCAGAAGTCAGCGTGCAGTGGCCAATACGTTTGATGTTTCACAGTCTGTGATTGGCAGACTATGGAACAGGTACCAACAAACCAAACAATATTGACGATCGACCCCGTTCAGTGCGTCCCAGGTTAACGACAGGACCATAGGATCGATTGATCCAAAACCAGGCTCTACGCACTAAAAGCATGTAGCATGGCAACTTCGTTAACTAACATGAGGTGGGCACCCCTAAGAAAACTAAGCATGCCTTGTAAAGGTTTCGCTCTACAGCGCGCCTTATTATTATCACTTCATATCGCTCATTGTGACGTAAGAGATATGACGTCACAGTCATATATATAGAAAAGCGCCAAATAGAAAGCTTCATTTGAATATTTTCGTAACTGCAACTTTGCATTTTTTTAGCCTGTAATTGTGCATAAAATTATTTCAATATGCCTACCGACAATGACTGTAAAATAAGTACTATTCTAAAAATATTAGCTCCGGCGGTGATGCCGCAATCAAATCGGCTGTTTCAATCAGAGAAGGTTTATTGTGATTTGAAACCCCTGACTGACCAATCTTCATCGAGTATTTCCATATTCATGGTAGAATGAATGGCTCACGACTGATCCAAAAATGTCATCTTTGAAATTTCGCGTCTTACCCCTATAGTCCTTGAAGATCGTTCGCGGTCATAACATCTACTGTCATACTTGCCTACCGGTTGCAATGTGTTCCCAAGTCATTCATTATATCATACAACTACAGAAAGTGGAAAGTAGATCATCATCATCATCACGATGGAGATGTATCCTAGTGGTTAAAACGTTGCCTCGTCATACCGTCAACGTAACGTGATTCCCTAATTGGCCACAATGTTCATGAACATTTTCCGAAACCGAATCAGCATGGCGTAAAAGGCAAAACAGTGAAGAAAATTACAAGAATTAATCACTGAAAATAAGTGATGACACACGATGTTCGCGAAAAGGGTTTGTATGTCCTGCTCTACTTCAACCTTATTAAAATCAGATCTTAGTTCTTGCTACCGCTAAACAAAGATCTGGGAACATCCCATTACGGGTCACGTCAGAACGACCTTTTGCAAACTTTGACCGACCAATGAAATGACTGACAAGAAATCGATATTAGCCAATCATAAGGCACCTTTCTCGAGTTTTACGACACTAGTTACAAACTGGCGACTACGCTTCGAAACATATTTTGACGTATTCTCGATTAAAAATGTTAAAACTGATAAAAAGAACATTCTGGAATGGCTTATACATGGCCTAGATTGTATGGATATAATCATAAAACTCGTAACTGTTGTTCGGAATACCCTCTGTTAAATATTTCGAGGTTGCATGATAAGAAAACATATTCCGACTGTCACTGTCATGATCTGGTAAGCGACGCTCTGTTTGGTAGGTCGTTCTGACGTGACCCGTAATGGGTTGTCCTCAGATCTATGTTTAGCGATAGCGACAACTAAGATCTGATTTTTATGTGATTGGCTCTACTTGCAGTTCCCGCCACTCACACAGTTTTCGTTAAAAACACGTGTCAATTGCTGCCTAACGCAACGATGTTGCCTTGTGTGGTGGCCTATAAATAGTCTAGTCTGGACTTGACAACCCAGTAGTGAGCAATGATCCATGCAGGTACCGCTTTATCAGCCACGTCAGCCTGACCAACCAGTCTATGGTATATTCACTCATTCACTTCACAATTGGTTTTACTATTATTTTCAATTCGCAGGACAAGATGGCGGCTGCCGTCGACATTGTAATGATGACATTAATAACAGGTAGGTGAAATAATTCAACATTTTGGTTGTCTAAATGATCAGTGATGTTTGTGTTATTATGTACAGGAAGATATTAACGAGCTCAGTATACATCTATATGTCATATCTATAAAATAACATGGGGGCACGGGTGGTCGAGTCGTCTAAGGCGCGGCAATTCGCTGTGCAGAGTTGTGTCCCTTGGACAGGCCAGAATCCAATGATCCTGGGTTTGAATCTCGGTTTGTCGCGATTATGTTTCAAGGTTTGTCAGCACCATGCCCGTTGTCACTACTTTCACCAAAGTGGTAAACGTCTGAGACCTGCATCACTTCGGGCTTTCCTCCCACATTCAGCTGACATGCCGTGATATAACAGGAATATTGTTAAAAGCGGCGTTAAACACAACTCACTGAATCAATCACTATATCATAACAATAGACGCCGGATGTCCTTAGCCATGCGTTACGTTTTTCTTTGTGTAACTGGCGGATTGATTGCACATATCACTTATTAATGAGGTACATATTATTCAGAAAGCTAATGCCACCTAAACGTAACAACTTGCGGTTACGTTACATACTATCCCAGGTCCTTAGATGGCGCGCTGGGGCATGTTGAATACCCTGGATACGGTCACCTGGGAAGTTATCCAAACTCAGTCTGTGTTGATGTACTTCAGTAGCTATTGATTTTCCCATTAAAAACTGTTATTGTACAAAAACATGAAAAGACAAATCATTTCAAAATGAGCCTGAACTATTACCTGGGGATGTGTACTAGTTGGCAGTCAGAGGATGTTGCACAAACTCAGAGGATGTCAATATTATATTGTTATCGAAGCCCAGCGTAACGACAAACAACCTCGACCCGTTATTCCCAGACAACAGAAGCCGACATTATTTGTTGATGATATGGTGCAATATTGACACTCGACGTGTCTCGAACAGTGGATAACTTAAAATATATTACTCAAAAGACGTTAAGGATCATCCGACTCTTTCAAAATGCTATAGTTATCCATCATGCCATGAGTGAGTGAGTGAGTAAGTCGGGTGTAACGCCAATTTTAACAGTATTCCATGAGTTATATCACGGCGTGTCAGCTTAATGTGGGAGGAAAGCCCAAAGTGATGCAGGTCTCAGACGTTTAACACTTCGGTGAAACCCACGAGCACGGGTATGGTGCTGACAAACCTATGAACATAATCGGGGCGAACCGGGATTCGAACCCACAATCATAGGTTTCTGGCGTGCCCACGTAACGCAACTCTGCACAGCGAATCGCGGCACCTTAGACGAACGACTGGGCCACCCATTAACTATCAGCCATTTCCTTTGCCTTGAACATACTGGCCCGTGTCGACTGTGAACCACTGGTCATTTTCTCATTCCTCATCTATATGTATGTGATTTATGTATAGGCTGTCGCCTTACTGATAGCCTTACTCCCGCCAACAGTGACTTCAGCGTCCAGTCTCCCCACCTCCATGACGACATGGACTTTGTACACAGACAAGCGATCCTGGAATGAAGCACAGTTCCTCTGTGAAGCTTTGGGCGCTCATCTGTTGTATCTGAAAGACACCGCTATGGAGGGCCTGGCTGATCAACTAGCACAACAAGAACCCTGGTCGCCGCATCTTGGCGTGTAAGGAACAAACATGTTTCTTTGTTTGTTGTTTAATGCCACACAATTCAGGTGTTCATCGCCGTGATATTGCTGGAATATTGCTAAAAGCGGTGTAAAATAATACTCACTTTATCATACGGTATAGACACTGATGCTTTTATAATTCTGTTTACGCAAAAAGGAGCAGTATGATCACGAGGGGTACATGTGGTTTTAAGCGTCCCGCGTAACGTTTCATACCACGATCAGGGGCGACTGGTACATAACGGGGGACGCATAAAACCCCTTGTACCCCGAGTGATCCTGCTTCAACGAATTTATCTTACAAACATGTTTTAATCTGCCGTTGTAAAATGAATTAAAACAAATTCAAAATTGATAAAAAAAACAGCTGTTCGATTGAGCTGAGGATAACTTGTTCTGTTCTGAGACTTTCATTGACTCGGAAAAAGCTTGATGATTGTGGCTTTGAAGTAAAAGGGATTTATTCTTCCGTTCAGAAATCCACGTGCAGCCTGTCTTCTTCGTAGCGGGGTATAAAAGATTTATAGTATTTTATCAAGATCACGTAAACCAATAAGATCTCAACATTCTGACATGGAGGTATAATAATGATACTTATATGACGGAATATACTTTGATTTATACAATTATACATATATTACACTATGTATACACTGATACTTATTGTACACGATATATATACTGATATTTATAGTGCACGGTATACATAGTGATACTTATATTATACGGAATATACACTGATACTTATACGGTTATAATGTTATATATGTTATAAGTGCATTGGGTTTAAAATACTAACGTGATTGCTGGTGTTTCTCCTCAAGACTGAAGTCCCACTCTATTGGACTATATAACATGGTCGAGACTGTCCCGGCCAGCTATTCATGGCTGGACTGTGAGCCAGCGGGCACAATCACCGCCAACTGGGCCTCTTCGCGGGAACCATTGTTACAGACGATGCGTTTGTGCCTCAGGCGGCTCCCAGGTGCCGGGTACGCAACCGCCGATTGCAAGGATGACAATCAATATGTCTGCGAGAAGGTTGGAGGTAAGGTTGGAAGCAATGAAAATTCATGAATATAATAAATAAGTCTTCTCATCTAGCAAGTTGATATTATGCAGGTTGTTCATATACGAGTATACAAGTATGCGATAGATGAATGTGTTTCCATATTTAGGAGTGAGTGAGCGTATGTCCGTTAAATGTCACAGTCAGCGTCACACATGAAACTATTGACCATGTAATATAAATATCGAGTTGAAATTAAAAATCGCTTTTTTGGCAAATGGAAAATCTTAAATTTATCGGGGAGTGATGTGCGTTTGGCTCGGGGGATTAAATCCTTCCCATCTAGGCCCACCACGGAAACGCGTAATGATCCGCGTGGGTGATCCTGGCACGGTCAGGCTGGTTAGGCTCATCATCAGCTCAGGGCCCTCGCCCCCTCTACACGCAGCCCAGAAAGCGAATGGGACTTCTCCAAGGAAGCACTGCCTAGTCAAACCCACCCAGAACCTTTCGGAGAATATGAAGACTCCCCAACACTGCAGCCTTCCGAATTACCCAGAAGAGCTGTATTCCGGGTAGCAAACCCGGGTACTCTCCCAATGTCAGTCAACAGATTGGGAGGTACCAAACCTAAGGCACCGAGAACAATGGGGAGTCGGTCAACTTGGTACTTGGGATGCAAGCGTGACATTTCGAAAGCGAGGTCCGTACATTTGCCATGTTTTTCCTCAATCTTGTCAATCACATTAATTTCAAAGGGGACAGAAAGTTCAATAATATAAATGATTTCATTGGATTTATCAAAAAGGACAAGATCAGGTTTGTTGGCCTAGATACGTCTGAGGCTATAAATGGGCCTATTCCAAAGACTTTTGTATTTATCATTTTCCATGACGCCCTCTACATATTCCGGGTCGTACTATTGGTGGACCTCTGTGTCAAAACCACAAGCATGGCGAATACTGTAATAAAATGATCGAGCCACCCCATCATGCCGTTTAAGATACTGTGTTTATGCCAAAGTTGGGCATCCACTGACAATGTGTTAGGCAGTCTCATTAAATTCATAAAATAATCTACATTTCATATTTACATTCTGATGCAAAATCACACATTGACGGTTTCGAGTGGGATGTGACTGGTCCTGAGCAGCAAACGGAAAGCCTTCTGTTTCACTTTTCAGGCCAGACGACTTCATCCAAGTGAAGGACTCTGCAGGATTGCTGATCTTCTCAACACACTGCACATAAACTCGATGCCGTTGTCGTTCAGAAAGCCTCTCCTTGTAAAACTTGAGTCTGGGCCGATTTGATATGGCACTTCGCTTGGTTGACACTCATTTCTGTAGCGTCAAGCAATACAGAACCATCAACAAAATCAACACCGACATTGAGATCATGTCCCACATCCTTGGCTCGTTTTAGAAAACTGTGGAATGCCTTGTTTTCATCATGAGTCTTGACATGCTTCACAAAAGGATCATCAGACAAATAAATGTGTGCAAAAGAGCACAAAACAATTAATTATTATTACCCATAGGGTTAGAAATAACAATATCACCAGTGTATTGATTACGTCATCCGGACGGCATTGTTGACGTCATTCGAATTGTTACGTGAGGATGGAATGATGACGTACTAAGAAAGGTCGTCAGAGCTGTTTGTTAAGTTTGTTGACGTCATTCGACAATTATGGTTTTCTGAGATGGTGGTCGCATATTTCTAAAGGCGAGCTCAAAAGGATTGAGGAAAATTTGATAAATACACACGCATGTGTGTCATACTAATTTTATGAAACTCGTGACAAAATTCATGTAATACCCTCGCTCTCGCTTACGAGGTACAAGAATTCTGACACTTGTTTCGTAAATTCAGTATGACACAGATATAATCTCTACATTTATTGACCTAATTTTATCCCAAACTCTTTCAACTTATGTTTGTATATAATAAACTTGCGCTTGTTTTCTGTATGTACGTTTCTATCTCCGAGTGTGTGAGGTTCTACGTCGTTATTACATCAACCCCACCGCGAAGAAATCCACGAGTGGACTTCACACATGTTCAATTAATCGGTCCCATTTCTTTTATGTAAGACAACATACTTTTATGAATAGGCAGGAAAGCATTTTAAGTAACCAATTTGTGTGCATCATGTTTGAGGTTTTAATACCGACAGTAAGCACCTACTCCGAGACGTCGTGTGCAGTCACCACAAATATAACACCAAATCACCTTTCCGAGGGAGTTAGTGAGTTGGGTTAAAGGCCGCTTTAAACAGTAGCCCAGTGATATCACGGCGTGTCAGTTTATTGTGGGAGAAAAAGCCTAAAGCGGTATGGTGCTGACAAACCTACAAACATAATCGGGAAAAAACAGGTTTCGAACCCATAATCATAGGTTTCTGGCGTGCCCAAGGGACGCCACTCTGGACAGTTAATTGCTTCTCCTCAAACCATTAGTCCACCCGTGCCCGAGTCACCTTTGTGAAAGGTGCGTTGTATATAAACCACACACTTTCGATAGGGACACTGATAATTTTTATTCATGATACACAATATATGTATATGTGTACTGCATAACTTAGAATGAAACTGAGCTATGTCAGCTTAATGCTGTAGCATGCAAAACATTGCTGTAGTGTGCAGTTTACTGACGTTTTGTGCAGATTAATTAAGTGCCGTGCAGATTATTACTGTAGCAAACAGCTTAATGTTGTAGCGAGCAGATAAATATTGCAGCATACAGACAAATGCATTAACCAAATTATCTATAGACTAGAATTCACGTTTCCAGCTCTAACAATTTCTCGTGGGGGCTGAGAAGTACATCATCGACCAAGCAATCTGTATATATCGAGGCTAGCCATAAGTACAAAAGGTCGACTTCGTTTGGGTTAGCTCACTGAAAACATCCGCAACGTTAAGATTAAGATTTCTTTGACACTCGTTCTCAGTCTATTGTGTCTTTGCCCAAGGACCATGTTCACAAGCATACACGTCAATATACAATTATCACAAGTAAATTGTTTAACAGATTAAAGGCTGGCTTCTTCTTGACATCGCATTCAATATCAGTCAATCGATCATGGTTATTACCATGGTTATGACGGGGGACCAGTCTCAATCAATCAATCTTCATGTTCTCAATACTGAAAGGCCACAGGCCCATAGTACTCGTATTGCAATGTGTAAGCGGAGATGCTGTACACACAAATTACTTTCTGATTGGCATGGCATGATAAGTATACTTTGATGTTCAGCCCTTTCTCAGGCTCACATCCATTAAACAGCTTTCAGTATACTCAGTTCATTAGTCATCCACTGGCTTCCAATTATCTTAATCACCTCTCTGTGTCCATCACTAGTAACTGTATAAACTTACATGTCAATAAGTATATATATATACCTATGTTGTTTAGCCCTATCCATCACTTGCTTGATAAAGGTGTTCGGATCAACACCGAAACGTCGCACTAATTGTAATAAAGAAGTTGTTCATCCATAGAACTCGTCTTACTTCATCACACCAACTTCTAAATGCCACTCAAAGAAGCTTTCAGTAGATAATAACTTATAGTAGATACATTTACTTGATAAATCAACAATAGAAGTCCGCTGTTGGGTGGATATATCACCAATAATTGCCATTCACCACAATGATTGTTCCATAATAACCGTAACCACATTTATAGAGTAAGTTCATCACATAATAAGCCCAATTCTTAGATCCATGTGTTTCATACAACAACATCACCTTGTAACATTTTCGTGGTAATTGGTTACATGGCATTTTAAGCTATTTCAAGTAGTATTTTATGACTAATATATTGTGAAACATAACGGTAAACACCCACATTCTCCTTACACTATTACATTGGACGTACCTTGTTTCGTACCTAGAAATCTTTTACATGATTAATATGAATAGCTTAATCGATTGAGATTCACAAAGCCCCATACTGCAGAGCCAAATAACAGAATTGGAGAAATCATGTTATCAAACAATTTAAAGAATGTCTCATATGAAAGGTCACTTAAATTTTGTAGCTTATGTAACAGACCGAACAGTGCCTTCTTCCATTGAATCGCTGCATTACAAGTATGTTGTTTCCACGATAACTTATTTGTAATGTAACATTGTAATATTTATAGAAAGTAACTTTTTCTAATGTTTTGCCTTTGAAATACCATATTGCCTTCTTCTCTTACTTCTAATTGACTTATTAACCGTTTTTAGGTCTACTACAGTAGTTGAGATCATAACTATATCATCAGCAAAGAGTAACATAAATATTTTCATAATTTCTTGGTGTATTTGAATACCCCGATTCAATTACGTTTTATCTGTTAGGCAAGTTCATTACTAATGAGTAGAGAAAAGGGCTTAACACACAACCTTATCGCACTCGTGTCTCAAAGTTAAGAATATCTGAATATATACCATTATTTCCAACACACAATTTTATATCTGGATAGATATTACATATTAATATTCCCATTTGGTTACTTATCTTTTGAGAAAGAAATATAACCATAATTCACATCTACCTATTGAATCGAATGCAGAGAAGTCCACAATAATTGCGTACAATTTTCCATGTTAGCTCTGTAAAATAAATATGTTATCCGTAGTGGAATACCCACGTCTAAATCCCGCTTGTTCTTCGCCTATCTTCTCGGAATTCGAACCTACGATCATAGGATTCTGGCCTGCCCAAGGGGCGCAACTTTGCACAACGATTTGCGGAGCCTTAGACGACTGGACCACCCGTGACCCTTAGTGTGAAACGCGCATTGTAACATGTGTGTCGATTTTGTGTGAGACATCAATGATGCCATGGAGAATACGCTGTCATGTTTTCTACAGGACGACAACATCTACTTTTCACCACTATTTTGCCTTCAGTCGAGGATGATTATTTCCTCGCGTTGACGTTTTATACTTATGACATGGAATGCCCCCAGACCAATTGTATTTGTTAATCAATTTCGTTTAAAAAAAACAACACAAACGTTGTCTTGCACTCCTTCGTGGTGCCAGGAGGGGCGGTCGGGTAGCCTAGTGGTTAAATCGTTTGCTCGTCACGCCGATGACCCGGGTTCGAATCCCGACATGGTTACAATGTGGGAAGCCCATTTCTGGTGTCCCCCGCCGTGATATTGCTGGAATATTGCTAAAAGCGGCGTAAGATCATACTCACTCACTCACTCACTCGTGGTGCCAGGATTCATTGAACGCGGGTTCGAAATACCAGAATATTCCTAAGTTTGCCCATATATGTGGTGGTGGGTTTCACCCAATCGCCTGCTTCTTTATGCTTTCCACAACAACTGAAACGCTTTACAAGCGACGTTGAACACAAGTCTCTCATAATATCATTTGACCAGAATTCTACCTTTTCCAGGCACCTGCAATTATGAGATGGTCCCTGACAGTCGTGGCGTAGACGGCTCCCCCTATGAAGCAGGTGCCCTGCCTGTGAGTGAGTGTCAAGGTCTGTGTGACGCGGCTGTGGAGGGTACCCAGGAGTGTTGGGCTTATACCTCATCACCAACTAAGTGTGATCTACACTTCGCCTCAGACTCAACGCATTTTGACATTGCGACGAATGTAGCCAACTCTAACGGCGAACAGCTGTATAAAAAGAAGTGTTTTGCAAGTGAGTTATACAATATCACAACATCGCCAATTGTTTAATAGTTAAAGAGACTTTAGAGCACCGGTTAATACTTTCGTCTTATAGATGGTCACTATGTGGTAAGGTGGAGCCCAGACACATGTATATGCTGATAAAGCACTGTATAGTACGTAGTTTTCAGGCGTGAAAACGTGAATATTTCAGCATGACAATCCTAAACAGGAAATTCTATAAAACTGTGCAGTTTGCTTCGAATATGAATGGTTTGTTTGTTTTCCTGTTGTTGTTGTTTGTTTGTTGTTTAACGCCGCACTCAGCAATATTCCAGCTATGTGAAGGCGGTCTGTAAATAATCGAGTCTGGACCAGACAATCCAGTGATTGACATAATGAACATCGATCCACGCAGTTGGGATACGATGACATGCATCAACCAAGTCAGCGAGCCTGACCACCCGATCCCATTCCTCGTCTCTTATGACAAGCATAGCCGTCTTTTACGGCAAGAATGGGTTGCTGAAGACCTATTCTACCCCGGATCTTCACGGGTCCCTGTGATGTTGCTAATCGGACTCAATAATCAATAAAGACCTTCATGCCACGACGGTCTCGTAACACTCTGCGCTCTATGTTTTACTTTAAGAACGTCTTTAGCGTGATCCAACAAGACAAAGAGCTTTGAAGTGCCTTTGTTTTCTTCGAACTGAACCCAAGTCGGCACAATGTCACACAGTGTTCATAATGACGCGCCAGGGAACATAAACAAAAGTAGTGAGATTGTCAGGCCAAGAGATGCTTTCACAGATTACCGTTATAACCCGGCTGATGTCTGCGTGTTACGTTTTACAGATGTGGTCAATGGGACCAACTTTCCAACTTTCAACCTCATCTCTGCAAAACCTTTCACTCCATGTCCTGGATCAGTGGGCTCTGAGAGTACATCAGGTGAGGTGGGGTGAGGTGAGGTGAGGTGAGGTGAGGTGAGGTGAGGTGAGGTGAGATTGGGTTTAACGTCGCGTCCAAGATTATTGCATTCATATAGCGACGTACATGCACGTGTGTGTGTGTGTGTGTGTGTGTGTGTGTGTGGCTGCTTGTACTAGTCCGGACTGATGCCGATTTATAGTGCTAGCTCACTGAGATACCATGCCGCGGTTTAACATGAATACTCAGACACAGTATACTGACTCCGAGCCGACCAGTCCTTGTTTTAGCCCCATAATGCCGAGCGCCAGACAGGGTAGCAACAAGTACTATCTTTTAACGTCTTTTGGATTGACGCGGCCGGGGATCGAACCCCGGACCTTCCGCTCTCCGGGCGGACGCTCTACCACTAGACCACAGAGCCGGTCACATCAGGGGAGTAAATGAGGGCGTTTAGCATCAGTTGAGTGAGTGAGTGAGAGTGTTAAGACTCAAGTGAGAGAGTTCTTAGTATCAGATGAGTGAATGGGGGATGGGGGTGGGGATGTCGTTAGTATCAGGTGAGTGAGTGAGTGAGGGTGTTTAGACTCAAGTGAATGAGTGCGTTAAGTATCAGATTAGTGACCGAGGGGGCTTAGTATCAGATGAGTGAGTGAGAGAGGTGAGCATCGGGTGAGTGAGTAAGGAAGTCGATCACTGGTCTTCTGCGTGACAAGAAAAAGCTATAACCACCAGACCATCCACTGCGCCGAATATGTTTTGGATTCGGCAATATGTGCTTTCTCTCTTTGATGACGAGATGTCCGTAATTCGTCTTGAAAGTAAGATCCCATCTCACACCCATCCATCTACACCCCTCATCCCGAAAAAGTTTTGACTACACTTTATCTAACTGGAATGTGGAAGAAGTCATTTACTCTGATCCTGGGAAACAGTCTTTCGAACTAGTATGTCAACCAGTGTCGATCGAGGGGCATTCATGTATCTGCCCTCTGTGACCTTCACGTTTAAATCACAATTTTTTTTATTAATTGATTTGCCAAAATACAAAAAGCCAATCATGCCATTATTATCCCTACCTGCCCCATTTGATGAATTGTCAGCCATTACAGACAATATTCGCAAATCGTTTCTTTCGTTCGGACAAACTACAAGAATAAATGATAACGCTTCCCTTCGAAAACAATGACGCAAATCTATCAAAACCTCTTTCGTTTCAGTGTATACCTTCTTTTCTACAAACGTTACGTGGTTTGAAGCAATGGCCATCTGTACCAGCAACAGTCAGCAGCTCGTTGTCCTCTCTACAACAGATGATGCCCTTAAGCTCCACAAGTTATTCGGGTCTTATGGGTCTGTATCTCAAACAGCAGGCTTTTGTTCATGATTCATGTCATAAACAAATATATGTCCCAAATATTTATTGCGTTTAATCTGTGTATTCAAACAGTCACAAAAACAAGGCACCAGACAGCTCTTAATGTTTAAAAGGCCAATAGTTTAGTCGAATAATAGAGACAAAAATCTTTCCATAATCATAAGAAATCTCTTCTAAAAGCAGAGTCTATTATAAACAAAGAGTAGGGAAAAAATCTTGGAACCCAAACAGTATGTTCTCAGGTAATGAATTGTTCATGACGGTTTAGAACAGTAACTATATGATGCGTATATGAACCAGGAGAAGAAACAACTATTTAAATCTATAAGAAATTTGCCCCAAAACAAAATCTCCTTAAGGGCAACAAAGTGTAATTTGGTTTGTGCCAACTGCTACACTTGTTAATTACAGATACATTGTTCTCTAGCATATCCTTCTGGATGGGTTTAAGTGGAGCGACAGCGAGCGGGTATACTTGGGTCGACGATACAGCAATGACCTGGAATCACTTCCACCCCGGGTTTCCAAGCGTGGGCACAGAGACTCTGTGTGTAGCAGCTGTCCCTAACAACAGTAACAACACTTGGATCACTGACAACTGCCAACACAAGCGACCCTTTGTGTGTCAGAAGCCGGAAGGTCTGTATCTAGCCATTGTATAACAACGATAGTCCCCGACATTATACATACGGCTAGCACCAGCGATCCTTTGTGTGTCAGAAGCCGGAAATTGTATCTAGGCCAAGAGGCACTGTAACATGTATGCATTATTGTTAACATATATCATACTTACTTTTATGATACTATCACTAATATACTATGAAATGCAACACTTTGTGCGGAATATCTGCACTTGTATACATCGGATGTATTTTGAAAATCAACACATCGTTTTAAGTAACTAAATCAGTACATGCGCTATTGTGTCACTGGATTGCCTGGTCAAGACTCGATGGTTCACAGGCTACCGTCATATGGCAGGAATATTGCTGGGTGGCGTTTGGCATCCAACACTCACTTAGAAAGTGTGAGTGGTATGTGCTACCGGTAGTGAGGACATGATTACCCTTTTCGCGAACACCTGGTGTCATCATTGATTATCAGCGAAAGAATTCATATATTTAGTAAGTAAGGATAAGAATTTATGGATGAACAACTTCTTTATTACTATTAAGAGCGACATTTTGGTGTAGGTTCAAACACCGTTGTCAAGCAAGTGATATACAGAGTAAGGTTGCCAAGTATATACACAGGTAGGAGGCATTGTTTATACAGTAGAGTAGATATCAGATGTAGTTATACTGGAGTGGAGAAGCCTGTTATGTGCACACAAGGGTAGTAACGACAATCATCGGTGAAGTCAGTGAAGAACAAAGAATTAATATAAACAACACGATTGGGGTCTTTGATGAGTTGATGGTACGCAGGGGGTACCAAACCTACACCGAAACGTCGCTCTTAATTGTAATAAAGAAGTTGTTCATCCATAAATCTTTTCCTTCCTTTTTACTCCAACTTCTAAATGCCTCTCAAAGAAGACATTCATATATTGTATAATGAATCTTTTTCCGCAGATAAACGGAACTGATTATTTTCTGACGTGGGCGTTTTATATTTTCTCATTCCAGTCAAGTGTGCCTACCTTATACTGAACAGGGCTAAAGGCGTGACTTACACCGATAAGGGTAGCTTAGATCAGGCGGAATGTGAAGGCGAATGCCAAGCCCTCAGTGACTGCGTGGGTTACTCTCATTATAAGACACTGAGTAAGAAGTGCTACCTACACCAAAGTCCAGATCCACAACATCTGTATGACCCAAGTAACTACAAAACTGGAGAATACTTCTGGAAGCTGTACCGATGGTCATGTGACTTTGGTGAGTCTCGCTTGTGTTTGGGAACTACATTTTATCAGTGTAAAGATGTTGGTACCATTTAGTTCAGAAGTTTATCACGCACTGAGCTATCCGCTCAATTGAAACTTCCAGATATATATTTACTTGTGTTTTAAATTACTTAATTGCAAACTGAACTATTGACATATCATTACCTGAAATTACTGACATCACTGATCATAATTCTTAAGTTAAGATGTTTGGATTTGTTACTCTTTTCTGTCATGTGTTTAAATGTTTAATCTTCAAGAATATCGAACAAAACAAGTCTGGGCTGTACAGTAAAATTACCCATCCTACAGCCCAGACTTAGCCCCCAGTAACTATTTTTGGAAACAATTTCGGTTTGAAACAGATAAAAGACTCCGGTAAGTGTTCAAATGGTTTAATTTGCCATACTGACTTCAGAAAATGCGTGATTGCATAAAAAACCTTGAACATGCCAAAATGTCAATTTACAAATCAATAGCGTGTGTGACCACCTCTGGTTGCGATGGAAGCAACACATCTTCGTCTCATGGAATGGACCAGGCGTCGCACAAAGTCCTGTGGGATATCTGTCCATATCGGCTGGAGCATGTTTCGAAGTTCCTGGAGTGTCTGTGGAACACGTGGTTGACGTCGAATGCGCCGATCCATCTCATCCCACATGTGCTCGATTGGTGAGAGATCAGGGGAGCGAGCCGGCCAGGGGATGACATTCACGTTGTTTTGTTGAAGAGAATCCTGAACAATTCGAACAATATGAGGCCGGGCGTTGTCATGTTGAAAGGTTATGCCTGGGCCACGACGACGCAAAAACGGTAGAACAACAGGGCCGATTATCTCGTCGCGGTAGCGCTGTCCATTGAGATTTCCCTCTACCACTATCAAACGGGTTCTCTATCTTGCTGTAATCCCACCCCATACAATAACGATGCCGCCCCCGAACCGATCTTCTCCCATGACACAATGATTGACGTAACGTTCACCTCGACGTCGGTACACTCGAATCCGTCCATCGCTGTGGCTGAGGTGAAAACCAGACTCGTCAGTGAGTAGAACTTGTCCCCACGGCATGGCCGTCCAGCGTAGACGCTGTCTGCACCACTGTAGACGTGCTAGACGTGCTTGACGGTGGTTTCCTGTCAAAATGGGACGTCTGGCGAGTCTTCTGGCGACAATTCCTGCACATCTGAGGCGACGACGTACGGTTTGTGAAGATATTCGTCGAAGGCCAGGGATGCTTCTTGTAGTCACTGTTGCTGGCTGGAATCGATTTCGTAGGCGTGTTGTTCGAATCCAGTTGTCTTGTCGATTATTGGTTACGCGTGGCCTGCCTCTCCGAGGATGGTCTCTGACTGCATTCGTCTGTTGCCAACGTTGCCATAAACACCAAATGGTGTATCTGTGGACGTTAAACTGTCTTGCAACAACTCGTTGACTGGATCCTTCTTCAAGCATACAAATGGCTCGCAGACGCTAATTTCGGACAGGCGTGGCATTTCGTAATGTTGAATAATTGCGTAATTTTGTTGTTTTCCTGAGTGGTTGTTGTCAGCGCGATGCTAAACAATGCACATGGAATCCCGTTAACGCTTAATGTTTTTATACCCATTCTTGGGTAGTGAAATGCATGGGGCTTGCATAAAAGTCAACTTTTGCATGGAATGCATGCTTTTCTGTTGCAGTTGCGTTTTTGTGACTTGATTCCATACATGTTCAACACCATTGAAAACCAAACTTTACTTGCTTGAAAAATACACTAAAATATTGGTGTCACAGGAACTTTTGTTGTTGAGTATATTATAGATATTTAGGTCTAATCTCTTCTGGTTTTCAAATAAGTTTTCAAAAGCATCTTATACTTTGGCAAAGAAGGCAGAAAAGGCCCCCACTGTGGTAAAGCAATTTGAGATACGTTTTTCCGATATATCTATGCAGGCGGCCTTTAAAATCTTTGATTGCAAAACTCAGCCAATACTTTTATATGGCTCGTAAATTTGAGGTGGCGCAACTTGGAAACAATTGAAATCATTAACACTAAATTCTGTAAATTCAGACTAAACATTGGATAGAAAGCCTCGAACTACGCAGCCCTTTGAGAATTTGGTCGATACCCTATATATATGTACATATATAACCGGATTATAAAGTATTTGATTAGGTTAACGAGATTGCCACAGAACAGGTATGATAAGAACTGTTACATTATGTTGCAAACTTCTGACAATGAAGAGGATATATTCTAGGCGTAAGTTTTCAGAAAAGCTTGTTTTTGTATGGATTTGTATTTGTATGGATGGCACGAAAAGTTTCTGATGTTATATTTACTCGGAGATTGCAAGATAATTTGGAACAAAGAATGGACATCCCGGATCAATAATAGTTCTAGTAATACACACAATGTACCTTAGGCTTCATGGCGTCTTATACGAATAATGTTGTCACTAACTATTCAAAATCAGTGTCGACGAATAATGATCTACTGTACTTTATATAGTTTAGGTGGAATACATGAGTAAATGCGTAGATATTTAACTATGATTTCGGATATACTGCTTCCCCTGGAGACTCTAACATATTTGTAAAAGTAGGCGGCTAAATTTATTATGCTGATGAGGTTGTAATTTCACTTGAATAATACGGTCAAGAATGCGTGAAATCCTATCAAAATCAACTTCGTAATCGCAAAAAGTAATATGACTTCAAACGTCGCATCGAGCTCTGGCGGATCAACAGCGATGGAGTGAGGTGAACGGTTTAATAGTGCTAGCCGACGTTTAACATGGATACCCCCCCCAGACACAGTATACCGACTCCCTGCTGACCGGTCCTTGTTATATCCCTTTAATGCCGAGCCCCAGGCAGGGTAACAACAAGTATTATCTTTTAACGTCTTTTGGTATCACGCGGACGGGGATCGAACCACAGACCTTCCGCTCTCCTACAACGATGAAATTCATTATGTGATAAAAACTTAAACTAAAAAGACTTTTTCTTGAATTTGCTGGTTATACTACAAACCTGTTCCTCCTTGTTGTTATCATATTTTAAAGTATCGCGCTCTGTGAACACAATGTCAGAAGCAGCTGGCCGAGCGTTGTGCTATCGCCGGCAAATCAATTATTTCTTTTAATGTAAGATAAGTAAATAACACAAAAAGAAATGAAAGTCGACTATGTTGTGACAACCATTTGACATTTGGTTTGATTTCCCAAATAATTAAGCTGTCTCCATGTTTAGTTCCCAATAGTGTCAGGTATGCATGCAGGAAGTGATGCGGCTCCATGTTTCCATTTTACCAAAGTTGTACTCCTACGCACGTTGTTTGTTTTCCCTTTATTGAGCCAGTTTTCCATATTGGATACCTTTTGACACTCACCAAAACGGTGTATTCCACTTTATAAAGGTAGAATATGATGTAATATTTGATATTCAAACCATTGAAATGTACATGACTTTGTACACCTGAACAGTATAAGATAGTTGTGTTTACGATCTGCTTCGTAGATTTCACTTCTAAGCAGGCATTCCCATTTTTAAAAGTGTTGATTCCTGGTAATTTGTTTGTCCATAAATATTTTATAGAAATATGGAGAACCTTTTCAGGTTGTTAACAAATGAAATAGATTAAAATTAAAGGTTAATTTGGGTAACTAAGTTTCTTTAGCTTCTGAGTGCCCTGTAACTGACAGTTTTAGAATGAATCAGACTTAAATAGGTAAGATATTTAATTTCAATGTTGTATTTCTCCGTGAATTGTACATATGGGAGAATGTGTCCCTTTTATGAATCATTAATAAATCTGTTGCCCTTTGTAGACCATTATTGGTAGACAACCGTTTCCCCTAGTGGTTGTTATCATTTAACCAGATATTTTGCCAAAAAATCCCAACGGCAGGAATACAATTATTTTCTATTAAATCCCACCAAGACATCAGTAAATCTTCATAAAACTTATCGTATACTCTGGAAAAAATATATATGGCTTATGCTTCAGGTTATTGATCTCATACACATTGGCCATTCATTATAGGGGTATTTATGCATAAAGAGTGACAAAACACTCTCCACAAAACTATATGACAAGAGAGATGACTTAAACTTTCCAAAAATCAACTTTCCATTCATGTTGAGCAATATTCCAGCAGCTCCAGCCTTTAGCGTTTACATTTTGCAACTTGTGAGATACAATCGAGCATGCACTTTCTACCAAGATTTCAAAGCGCGTCATACAACTCTTTGCTCAGTAGTTTTGATCAAGGTTACAACATTCAAGGCCTCAGTAAAGGTTTCAGAAAGTTTTATGGTAGACATGTGGAAGATATTTCCAAATTTGACGCATCAGTGCCAAAAATGATGTCCGATGCAATTCCCTATTTTGCCTTGTACAATTATGTTCCAATATTTTTTCGGGTGAACAATTTACACGCCTCTACATGTGTTTGTGACGGATGCCACAGTTGGGGCAGGATACGCTCACCATTTCGCGAACACCTGGTATCATCACTATTTCTTAGTGATTCATAAACACAGGCTCATGATATAGTCGGAATCGTACAATCGACTCTGCTTTATGTAGAGATTTCTATTGGAAATGGAAAGGGTTTTGTCGCTTTATTTATTATTTTAGCATCATTGTTATGATGTACTGAGAACAATGGGGAGTCGGACAACTTGGTACCTGGGATGCAAGCGTGACATTAAAAATAAAAAAAGGCCAAATCTAATACGGCGCCAGGACCTGGTGGTATTTGAAACCGTTTCCTTGTGTCAAAAACACCATTACTTCACTGTTTTAATTCTCTTGTGGATACAGTGGATGTTACGCCTTGGTTGTGCAAGGGTCGAACAATACTTATCTGAATACACAATACAAAGTATTTACAGGATGTCTTACAGAGATCGTGTCATCATACTGCGCATCTAATGACATTATTTACATGGAGCAGATAGGAGCCAGAAAGGGATGTTGGGGTTGTAAGGATCAACTACTAGTTCAGAAAATGATCCTTGAAAAGGCTAAAACTTACCACCGTAACCTCTCAATGTGTTGGATAGACTACAGAAAAGCTTACGATTCTGTACCTCACGAATGGATTTTGAGGTCACAACGGAATGTATTGGCTTCCCGGAGCGGCTACTTGTTTTACTCAAGTCTTTAATGAATTGCTGGTCAACTCAACTTGAGATGTATTCGCAGGGGCAGGTGGTGACTTCGGAACCCATTTCTATCAGAAGAGGAATATTTCAGGGCGATTCTTTTAGCCCTTTGCTTTTCTGTTTGTCACTAAATCTTTTGAGCTTTTTTGCTCAGCAAAGAGGAAGGTTATCACCCGGGACCTCCTCAGCACAGATCCCCAACACCCCTTATTCACCTCCTTTACATGGATGACCTTCAACTTATTGCCAATGGAGGATCTACACTAAAAAAACTCAACCAGATTCTGCTTGTCGGGTCCTTTTCTAATGATATCGGCATATCCTTTGGACAAATGCAACATTCTTCATTTGAAACGTGGCAAGGTAGAGGAGGGAGGATCAGTCAGTTTACTTGGAGGAGGAGTTATTGACCATCTTGTGGAAGGTCAGGCTTATACGTACTTAGGGATGCAGATTAGGGACAAACTCCAGAATGCCCATATCAAGAAGAAACTTAGGGCAGAGAGCAAATGTAGACTAAAGAAAATCAGAGAAAATCCAAAGCAAATTTTAATCCATGCTATATAGCTGTGGAGACAACCGTATAGAAAACCAATAATAATGATAATGGACGCCAAGTTTATAGGGATTGTTTTGGTTTATTATCTTTGGGTACACATAAACTTAAAATGACATGGGTAGGTCGTTTGATGACCCATAATTCAAAAATACGTTACCAACAATATTTCCTGTCAGACAAGAGCCTCCCTTTAAATCTGTTTCTTCATGTCCATCAGTATAAATAACCAGATTCGAATCCCTTAATAGCGGTAACGTTTGGCCAGGTTTAGTTGAACATATGCCCTATACGTTTCAGGTATATACTTTGGAGAAGCCACTCATGTCCAACCAATTCAAGGTAAGATCAAATCGTCATTTGACAATATATCCTTATTTACATCATGTATTTGTCACAATAACTTTTTTCCAATATAGTATTAAAGTTTGTTACAGTTTCAGTAATGCAGTTCCCCCTCGACATTTGGAGACAATTAGATATTTAACACTGAATTAAGCAATATCAATGACAGTTTCATCGATGTATAATATAGGGACAATACGCTTTTGTCAATAGTAGGGGAGGGAGTATGGTTTTACGCCACTTTTAGCAATATTCCAGCAATATCACGGCGGGGGACACCAGAAATGTGCTTCACACATTGTCCCCATGTCGGGAATCGAACCCGGGCCATCGGCGTGACGAGCGAACGCTTTAACCGCTAGGGCACCCGACCGCCCTATTGTCAATAGAAAACAGGACAGGAATTCAATTATTCATATGTCGTACTTTCCATGGGCGCAGTGGTTCAAGCTTTCGTTCGTCACACTGAAGGCCCGACTTCGATTTCCAACCTTCTTGTGTTCCCCGTTATTGATAGGGGCGGTCGGGTAGGCTAGTGGGTAAAGCGTTCGCTCTTCACGCCGAAGACCCGGGTTCGATTCCCGACATCGGTACAACGTGTGAAGCCCATTTCTGCGATATTGCTGGAATATTGCTGAAAGCGGCGTAAAACCATACTCACTCACTGTGATATTGATAGATTATTAACATGACACCATACTCACTCACTATGATATCGATAGATTATTAACATGACACCATACTCACTCACTATGATATTGATAGATTATTAACATGACACCATACTCACTCATCTTCATTATCTTGATTCATTCATTCTTATCTTATAGGTTTGAATGTATCGGATCTGCAGAGCACTTCCAGTATGTCTGTGGAGAGTACGTCGGCAGCCCCTGCGGTATCTACCAGTTATGTGTTATCACAGTCAGTTTTTGAACAGTCCGTAATAGAGGACACTACCGTTGTCTCAGTGTTTGGTACAGTGGAAAGTTCGCTTGAGGTAACAGAATCTGTGTTTGTGACAGAGGAACCTTCACTTGTACCAACTGAATCTTTGTTTGGTACAGAGGAACCTTCGGTTGTACCAACTGAATCTGTGTTTCTTACAGACGAATCTTCAGTTGCACCAACGGTTCCGTTTGTCACAGACGAGCCAATATCATCAGCAAAATCTTCTTCACTAACACAAGACACTTCCAGCAGTCCAGGTATTTTCTCTTCCTCGCCTGGTTTTGACGAATCGTCCTTTATTGGAACTGTCGGCCCATCTCTATCAGCAACACATACGTCACATCCTATGTCAACTGATGAGGAACTCCTGGAAACATCAAGTCCAAGTGGGACATACAACACTTATCCAGGCACAGACATGTTGGGTAGTTTACCCTCACCCCTGACTTCTCATCCTATCGTCACCTTCACAATGGAGTCCACACAAGACGTAGCAACACCAGACCCTTCTCTTGACAACTCTTTACAAAGTAGTCCCACGTCAGGTTATCTTTTACTACCTTCTGAAACCGTGACGTTGTCATCTTCAACGTCTCCTACAACTTCTCCTCAGCAGGCAACTACGGCGACAACAGTGAAGCTCTGCCCATGTAAGTGCAATATACACGTGGAGGACAAAGAGAGAAACCAGATTATCCAAGAGATCAAAGAAAAACTCTTAATTGAGACAGATCAGCTTGCACAACAGGTTCGCAAAAGGACGAGTGCTCCGGATGAACGAGCTAGTTCTAAAAGCATTGGCTATGTGGCCATAACATTTATGTCTTTTGTGGGCATATTAATGGTTCTCGCTGATTCGGCTACTTTAGGATTACACATACAAATGCTGATAGCTAATTTGTGCAAGAAATGAAAACAGAACCAGGGTTGGTCTGATTTGATGTAACCAGCTGTGATGGTATTATTCGTGTATGTACACCCGATGAGTGTCACCAGTACATGTAACATCGTAGCGTTGGAATGAATTAATAGGGTCAATTGGGGATCGGTCATTTGATATTCGGGGGAGGAGGGAGTTTGTATCTAGATATATTTTCAGCTACAGCTGCAAAACTATGAGTCTGATTTTTAAAAGAAAAACACCTGTCAATAATGTCATTTTGTGGCAGGCAATTTCTTTTTTTCATAGTCTGAAACATTATTATATTTCTTCAAGAATTATCGGGGACAATATATTTTTTGGATAAAGCCTACATGTAGCCCTTCCCCCAGAATTTCAAATGGTCTGTCTCTGAGACTTAATTACATAAGGAGCTTCACTGTGAAATTTTATCATTATGCTTCAATGTTTAGATATAAACAGAAAGGTTTTCTTTAATGGATGTAACCAACATATCGTATTTATTCTTACAAATGTTACGACACCTGGTGCTGAGATACTTAGCCCAAAGCTTACTCTCCATCATGGGCACGCCTTTTTCATATATTAATACATGTAATGTGTACAGAACAATTTTGTAGCAACATGTTTATAACTAGCTTACACATATAACGTGTTTTAAAATACGTTATATAAAATGTCCATATCACGGATTTATTGCCTTCAAGTGTAACGTGAATATAGTGTCTAAATTCTTTTTAAATAATACTTATATTTTCACATTGTTAGATCAAAAGATGTATATAACATTTTATTGCTTTCAAATGTTCACTACGCTATGATATCAAAACATCTATAAAACGTTTTATAGCTTACAAATTTAAATGTGCACCAAGCTAGTGTGATATCAAAACCTGTACATAACGTTTTATAGCTTACAAATATTCACTACACTGTGATATCAAAACATCTATGAATCGTTTTATAGCTTACAAATATGCACTAAGTTAGTTTGATATAAAACCTGTACATAACGTTTTATAGCGTTCAAATGTGCACTAAACTAGTTTGTTATAAAAACCTGTACATAACGATTTATAGCTTACAAATGTACACTACGCTAGTGTGACATCAAAACAAGTGTATAAAGTTTTATTGCTTAAAAATGTGCTCTCTGCTAGTGTGATATCAAGACATATATATAATATTATATAACTTACAAATGTACACTACGTGCGTTATAAAGACAATGAGTTCGCATTGACATTATATAGTGTGCAAGTACTGACATATAGATCATCATGTAACTTGTCTCTCTTACATGTTCAGCATGTTTATTATTGAAGTCAACAGCCAACAACATGGTAGACTAGTAGCCGCTACAGATGGACATTATTATACTGCTGGTAGAAATTGTAGTTAATGGTCACCTGACAGTTGTTCATCTTTAACGATAGCTGCCTCAGGAATTGGCACACACCGGAGAATGTCATCAAAGTTTTTATCCACAGTCAGTAAGTACATCATCTCCAAATACAGGCTGTTCGACATTAGGATGTGGCAGGACATCAGGGCATGTCTTGCTGCTGATTGTAGCGGACATTCTCTATTTAGTTTCGTCATCAGTAAAACCTGTGTATGTATTCAGGCTTGATGGTGTGTCGAGGTGGGACCTGTGCACTGTCAAGAACGTGTACTGTGGTCGCACACAGGGAGTGGTTTGTGTACTTGATAGAGAGACCAGCCTTCATACTGAGAGTTCACATCATGGTTCCAGTCGATTATACCTAAGAGCAACAGCGTTTTAGTACACCCCATGCTCGGACTGGGCGTTTGGCTGTTGAAAAAGCTCCACACAATCCTGGTTCAAGCGGCGCACATATTTAAACTGATAGGGTTGTGTGTTAAACATAAAACAATAGAACATAAACAAAGATTTGAACTCCATGCGAGTACAATAGTTAAGTTCAGAGCCAGTAAGGAAAGACACAACAACCAAGACACTTCCAGTATCAGACAGCAGTTCTACTTCAGCAAGGATAATATCAAAGATAGCGGCCCGAAGAGGCCGTTGCCTCTTACCATAAGGTTTTCCTCAAACTAATCCAAAGGGATAATGGCATAACGTCCCTTGACCCAAATTGGCGAAAACATATAAATCGACGTCCAATCAGTTAACAAAGTCTGTATCTTACCTAGGGATGTTTTTCTAGGAACATAATAACAATAAGGGGGTCTCTTTCAACTTGATAGGGTCGTTTTGATTCTAACTTTTTAATTTTTTTGCGTTCATCCGTGGTGATAGCTATATCAGAAACCTTCAGTCCCGCAAGGTTTTCCCTACCTCTCGTCCCCAAGGGCAGCAACATATCGACGAAAACCAACATGAGATAAAAGGTATTGAAATTGAAATCTTGTGAAAATTTATTTCGTAATGTTTTGCACTGTGCTCTAAAATATATATATTCACATGAACACATTTTATTCACAGCTCAAAAAGCTAAAACTCCTCACGATATTGGACAAGAAAATGGTTTTGAATTGTCCTAATAATATTGAAATCCTATTATAGATATACCTTGTGTTGCAGAAGGTACTGGATTGTCGAAGCTGCATACGTAGTCACACAGTTTCGTCATGTCGCCATCGGCTATAGTTGGGTAGTGCTTGATCTCGGCTAACCCGATTCGCTTCAGTTCTTTTTCCCTGCTTTGAAATATTTCGACGATTCACTGAATCAGCTTTCTTTGGTATTATCTACATCTTGTCTTGAATGTTCAAGGTGTGACTGAATACTGAGTCGATAGGTCATAAGAGTGACTTCCCTGTATTGGTCGCTTTTCTCGGTTCTCGCTTCAAGATATAATTTCGCCAGCTTAAACATAAACAATTTCCAACTCAATGGAGTTTCCTTTCTGAGCTAATTACTCCCGGAATACCTTCAGCGCTGTCGAAGTAGATCGTTTGGTATTTTTCGCATGTATATTGTCCAATATGACGCCATGACAGAGAGATCAGCGAAACGGTTAGGTTTACCATCGGACGCGGGCGCCATGTTTACGTTGTTAGGATCGTCCCGTGCTGGGGTCTCCGCGAAGGAAGTCACCTAGTTGGCTTAAAATCAAAGGATACCCTAGGCCTGGCTTTTTCCTGTGATGAAGTCAATATCGTTGGGTTGGAGGCAATATGCATTTCAAAAGACTGTCATGTGATCAAATCTCGGCCAAAGAGAACTCTCCATTATATTAAAATATATGATATAATAGCAAAACGAGAAAATATACACTGTGTTACCTTTATAAAGTTAAAAATAAGTATCATGTTCTACATGTGTTCACGTTCCGTTCTCAGTTTAGAATTAAGTATATAACATATACATTGATTGTACATCCAAATATATACATAAAATTAATTTTTTGTTAAAAAATGTATTTGTACCACCCACAACTGTACAGAACAGAGTGTACAGTCGAAACCCGTTATCTCGTACCTAGCGGGACCGTGTTGTAACTTCGAGATATCCGGACATTCGAGATAACGAGGTATGCACATTACATAGTAGGGCAGTCGGGACCAGAGAATACGTTCGAGATATCGGTACAAACGAGATAACGGGGTTCGAGATAACTAGGTTCGACAGAATGCAACATTAGTCAACATTGTGTACACATTGTATCCTGATTACGGAAATAAAACATTTGAATTAAAATAATTAAATACTTCTTACAAGTGAAAAGTTCTCAACCTTATCCTGAATACTGGAGGTCTTGTTTTGAATAGATGAAAGATGACAAAGCACATTAAATTACCTCCATTGTCTGCATTAATCTCCGTTTTCAGTTTAAACTCGTTCCTCCGTGTCAGTTGCTCGTGTTACCCGTGTATTTACATTTTCATTCAAATCAAAGTGATTTGTCTCACATACAAACGGGCGAAAAAGGATTATCAGTGATAAATTACGTAAACAACTTTCTAAAAGTATCTCCTCACTGCTATGTGCTCGCATCTCTTTCAGCAATGCTCTGGTACACAGACTAGAGGAGAGACCTGTGTTATGACTCCGGTGACTATGAAGATACGAAAATGGTTCTAACTGTGTGTAGTTATCACCAAACAGTGCAACCTGCGGCTGGTTATAACGCCAGAAGACCAGTAAAACGTCCTCAACTGACTGAGAGGCACATGCGGAATCGTCTGATATGGTGTCGTGCCCGTAGTCGATGGAACTTGGCCAACTGGAGAAGGATCCATTAGTCTGACGAGTGTCGAATGCTGCTACGAACTGGTCGAATTTTGTGTGTTTGGAGGCAACGTAACACTCGTTTTGCACCAAGGAACATCCAGAAGACCTTACCATGTGGCGGTTTGTCTGTCATGATATTGGGTTGTGTTTCCTTCGGCTGCAAACTTCCGCTGGTGACAATTCGTGGAAACCTGAATGGCCAACAATACCAAGATGCCGTTCTACGTCCAGTGGTAGTCCCTCATTTCGACAACCATCCTCTTCAGACATGACCTGTTTACATGGACGACAATGCTAGAACACACAGATCTCGGGCAGTTTTGGCTTATTTGCGTCAAGAAGCTATTGCCACTCTTCCTTGGCCGGCCTGTAGTCCGGATCTTAATCCGATTGAGCATCTCTGGGACATTCTTGGCCGGAAAATCAGACATCGTGATCCCCCAGAAGACCTTAGCATGTGGCGGTTTGTCTGTCATGATATTGGGTTGTGTTTCCTTCGGCTGCAAACTTCCGCTGGTGACAATTCGTGGAAACCTGAATGGCCAACAATACCAAGATGCCGTTCTACGTCCAGTGGTAGTCCCTCATTTCGACAACCATCCTCTTCAGACATGACCTGTTTACATGGACGACAATGCTAGAACACACAGATCTCGGGCAGTTTTGGCTTATTTGCGTCAAGAAGCTATTGCCACTCTTCCTTGGCCGGCCTGTAGTCCGGATCTTAATCCGATTGAGCATCTCTGGGACATTCTTGGCCGGAAAATCAGACATCGTGATCCCCCAGTTCAAAATCTCGCTGGACTTGAAGCCGCACTTCATGAAGAATGGATCCGTTTGCCTCAGAGAAGCATTCAACGACTTGTAATGAGTATGAGGCGTAGGGTTGAAGCTGTGGTCAATGTCCGTGGATCATACACACGTTACTGACGTTTCTGTCTTGCAATAGACTCTGCACTCCCTAGGGTTGGGTGGTTGGTTGGTCTGTTGTTTAACGCCGCACTCAGCAATATTCCAGCTATATGACGGGGGTCTGTAAATAATCGAGTCGGGACCAGACAATCCAGTGAGTGACATCATGAGCATCGATCCACGCAATTGGGCACTCCATAGGGTGTCTATGTGACACCTGATATGGTCTGCTGATATCATGACAGTTTCATGACAAAAAAAGTTTTTCAATGTTTTCTAATCCTTCAATTTCTGGTCTTCGGTCAAATTCCTTTCTGCTCTTATTCTTTTGGAACACAAGATTAACTTGCTTTGGGACAGCTTTTGCATCACACGAGGTTTACATATACAGCTTACAACAATCGTACATCTCGTTATAATAGTCATCATTAAGTGCCAAAAGTAACAGCTCACAAATATGGTGGTTTTGTGCATGTGTATAAATATATATCAACGTGGCCTTTTTTAGATTTTAAAACTTAGAAAAAAAATGTTTTCAGACACAACACACTATATATATTACTTGAAATACATATACCATATCATTATTATACCAACATTTTTTTCATCTTATAAATTGGAACAATGAAGTCATACTAATTTTAAATCTCTATAATGATGATTGTATTAACCTTGCAGTTTCTACATCCAGTTTGGTTTGACAATCAGATGATTGTAATACAGATAGAGCTCATTCTTAATTCAAAAGGCCTTGCTTTTCATGTTTCCTTATTCGAAACTGATGTCTCAAATTCCCAAATAAACACATTATTGATGTTATTCTTTTTTCTCTTTACACCAACATATATCTGCATTGCACAACGACTGTTATTATTTTATTTGATATCTTGGTATACTTGTGCATGTATACTAGTATTAGATTACACATGCATGACTTTTTAGCAGTCATTATCAGTTACTGAACTGCATGTTATGTCAATCAAGATAAGTTACATAAATATGACTCTAGTATACTTTCATGTTTGACGAACCAATCAATTCACCGTGGGAACATAATTCATTACTTACATAAGTTACTTAGATCTTCTTAAGATCAAAATAGATCCAAATTAAAATGAGATTAAGGAGTCATTTCAGTAATATGTATACTGACTGAAAATGTAAGACAATATATACATTGCCTGAGTGAGTCAATATACATATGCCTGATTAAAGACACTGGCTGTAACATTTATAAGTATAATCTGTTATATGCAAAAACAAATAACATAAATAAATGCATCTACATGGAATGATTGTGGGGTTAAATTTGCATTTATGTCATCATCAGAATATTTGATTATAAACTCTCTAAATTCATATTTGCTATATCATAATAATATCTAATATATAGACTTAATACTACAGGTGTCTTGAAGTACTGTGGAATGACAATCAGGATACATAGCTACAGCAGGATAGTGAATGGGTTGTAAGGGAAATAACTTGTCAACATAATGATAAATATACTGTGCCATTAAGTGCCAAAAGTAACAGCTCACAAATATGGTGGGTGTCGCTTAACTTTTGTGCATGTGTATACATGGAGGTTCATTTGAACGGCCTGTCATTGGGGCTATACAGGAAACATAAGCACTCAACGTATATCATAGCTTTAGTTCACCTAGCATTCAGACAAGCATAGCATTAAATTATTAGCATTGGTATACACCTGTGGAATGGACAAAAAGTAACTCGTCAAAAAGAATAAAAGTAGTTGTTATCCATAAAAAGATACTAATTTTATCAAGTTTCGGTTTGGGAAAACACATTCTTTCTTTTTGGTCAAATGGTTCAAGGAGGTTATTGGTACTTATTGGTATTGGTATCCTAACATAAAGCCACATGATACTAGCTCAGTTTATTAACATTGTTGTTACTACCTCCAGTTGTCATGTGAAGGCAGTGGATGGGGCTTATCATCGTATTATAATAATGCTTCTTTCAATATCTTTTCGCTGTATCTTACATGTGTAAGTAAAGGAGAATGTCCGAAATCTCGCGATTATTTTCGCACGTGAAGCTTGTTCGAGGCCGTTAGGGACTTTGAGGACTTTCTCCTACTTAAAACAAAGTTCGATCAAGTTAATGCCTCAAACTAATCTTCAAGTGATATTCACTACACTATGCTATACTATGGGAGGGTGACCACTCTTGTTTAACTATAAAAAGGTCAAGCATCAGAAGCAGCAGAAACATAAAGTTTGTGCGAGTGAGTGAGTATGGTTTTACGCCGCTTTGTCGGTTGGGGGCACCAAGAATGGGCTTCACACATTGTAACCATGTAGGGAATCGAACCGACACTTCGGCGTGACGAGCGAACGCTTTAAGCACTAGACTACCCGACAGCCCTCATATAGTTAGATAGTATTTGGACAATCGGTTGCAGAGCAATAGGGCAACATATGTCTTTAAACATGAATTACGGTATTGTAAAATTCCCTCTGCTCGTCGTTTCAGGTTGTACTGAAGAAATATTTGTTCTGAAAACAAATGTTGTGAAACATACATTGTTCGGTTTCCCCTTTCATAGAACACCTGCTGTTTGACGCAGTGAACCTTTAAATATCTACGAGCTTTGAGCTATTACAGCTTATCCATACCGAGTGAAATAATGGCGAACCTCCTGAGAATTGGCGAAGGACATTCAACATTTCGAGGTATATCCCTCACTTTGGATTTCTTGTCATGTAGGCCAGCTTTAAAAAAGTAACTACTGGTAATATAGTTTGTTCATTTCACAAAATTTCAACCTTAGTAAGCAGCCAAACAATTATGTAGAGTTTTAGAAATGTTGTATGTTTTTGCAACATTATCTTTGTCTACCAAAGTTAAATGATTATTGAATATCTTATAACCATCATCGAGCTTCAACTATAGAAGCCTTGTGCTTGTATATTTAGCTCTTGAGTCAAACGTACGGGCCATACAACAAGTTTGATTCCACATTTTATACACTCTCCTACCCAGAGTTCCATGCGGCCGACAGCCAGCCAGCATAGTATCTCTGCCACAGGCCAGCGCCATATGACGATTCGTCACATCTTTCACAGTCCATTCAAGATACTGAATATGCTTTTCATCCGTTTCTTGTTTGACAAGTCTACACATTTTCATAAACAAATGTCAAAGAATGGTAACGGTTCATTAAGAAAGTATCCTAATACGTGAAAATCTACTTTTCTTTGCGTAAGGAGAGCTATAGCGATATATCACTTTTATGTATAAATATATATATTGTCATGCAACTCACTGTCGCAGTTGTAGTAGCATATCTATATAATTATGCAAAACAATATGTAAAGCGCCCCCAAATACTTGCATTAGTCCGTTCTATACTGATTTCTGAAAAAGCGCGTTTGTTTACAAACAAGAGAAAAGTCCGGTCACGTGATATGCAAATTAGCTGAGTCACCACTGCGCCGGAGTGTGCATTTTATACTGAACACATTACTCATTTTGTGAAATTTCTTATGATTGAGTCTTCAACCTCACAAACACGGCGCCTGTATTTAGCAAAGGTACGTGATGTATATGATTTCAAAATATACAAAATACTACTATTACTACAACTACACTTTGAAATAAGAAAATATTTGCAGCGAGATAAATGTGATACTATTTCAATAAACACGTAAAACCATACTGACTTACAACAATACATGTACAGCTTCGAGCGCTGCTGCTCACGGAATTACTAATGTGTGTGAGATATTCAAAAATTGCAAATAAAATATTGATTCTTCTAACTTTTCTGAAAGGTTACATACAACTTCAACACAAGTGGTTTCTAACAAATACAAACTTGTCAACACATTTACACCACTTCAAGGTTGGAATGTGACCAGATAATCTGGGTATGCCTGTGTATCATTGAACACAACGTACATGCCAGGATTGTTAATATCGTTCACGACCGAGTCATACAGCTCAGTGCCAGTGCTTCCTGTCTTGGACGGTGGAACTCTCATCCCACGTTTCCCCAAAGTATATTCACCAATCAAGACTCGAACCAGGTACAAGTATTTCTGCCCTTGTGCGTCCGGTCTTGAGTATGTATCTCGGGCAGAATATTTGGCATTAACAGCGAAATACACTCCTTGGCCGTAGTGGGTGGCTGAAATTTGAAGCGGTTATCTGTAGACACATTGGAATATGAAGAGCCAGTAGCCATTCCTTGAATGCTACGAACAGGTGTCATTATGTACTTTTCACAAGTAAAATATGTGTAACGTGAATCGTATCAGAAAAAAACATATGCACATTTACTGTTCTTAAAAAATCGCTCTTCTTTTGTGATAATTTCCAATGAGGAATTCAAATACATATATAAAAATATGCAATCTCAAGCTTCCGGCCTCACAACCTTCCACAGTCCCTGTCTTTCTCACAGTCACTAGACCATATTATTTTCCATTCCATCCAGGCCTTTCTGTGATGTACAAGCCCTAAATGAAGCAAGTCTCCCATCTCACTGGGGACCCATTTAAATTGACATGGAGTTATTTGTTTCTATCAAAATCATAATATTTTCAGAGACTAAGTGTTAGTCTGGGCCTTCACCATGTACACTCGATTGGCACCACATTGAATACTTGAGATGCTTGTTCAACCATTGCTGTGACTGATAAAGGAGGGGAATTATAGTGAGGCAATTGATAAACTTCATACCAAACTGCAAATTTCTATTGCACACATGTTACAAAGCTGCAAGTGAAGTTGTTTGAACAGAATGTTGTCGCTTCCAACTGTTCATAAATGCTCACTGAAGAGTTCTGTCTTGTTGGATACGGTTTACCAGACAACCATTAACAGATACTCCAGACAATGTTATGATTTACACATAAGATTAGATGATGCAGGGGACGAAAACCGTGTTTTTTTCTGACGAATACCATTATTTAAAAATAGTTTTGGGCATGTCTGGCTTGCCCAAGATGTAGGTGACAGAAAACTATTTCTTAATTTTTTGAAACAAAGATGTAAAGATATTTATCAACATGAGTAATTCATGAGTCAAATTATTTTAATATTCTTCCGAAATCCAAAGTTCAATTGCATCATTATCTTATGTAATGAAAAACAATCTCCGTCCTTTAACCAAATTTAGCTGCAATGTACGTAATGTTAACATGGGAGCAGCTAGATTTTCCAAAAACACGACAATTGAATATGCACCCTGTCCATACTCTAACCACCCTAATGAAGAGTGAATACGTATGGTTTGACGCCGCTTTTAGCAATCTTCCAGTAATATCACCACGGGGGACCCCCAATGAAGATGAATATCACGTACTATCAATATGTCCAGATTATGCAAGTCCAAGAAATGATTACATGCAACCGTATTTAAAAAAACGGACCATCTCGGGAAAAGTTGTATGATATACTTCAAATCGAAAGTGTGAATATGTTACTTAAGTTATCCGTGTTATTGTACCGCGTATTTCACTTGAGAGCGAAGAAACCCATATATATCTGTTATGAAGTGCATTTCTGTACACCCGTTCTATACTCTGCGAAACTATAATGTCAAGATTGCGCAGCAAGTATTAACTATATTATTGTATACGTGATGTATTATTGGTCTTTAGGCCATAAATGCCTATCTGTCTGAAGCAATACATACCATTTTTCCCACAATAGCTTCTGTTGAACCCATGTGCATTGATGCTGCCTATAGCATCTGTGCTGGTACCGTGCCACAGCCATGCCTCATTCTTGGTACCCTGGGGGTTCTGCTTCTCAAGTTGCTTCCTTTTTGCCGCATATTGCTGGTACAGAGATCTGTTCTGAATGCGAGTCACCTATGACAAATACGCAATGTATGATGGTACTTTTCAGTAACAGGGAAGGTGTTAGTCAACGTCGTAGGTTACAAACCACTGCAAAGGTTGTAAGGGTACACTTCAAGTCACGTCCTGGCAGACTATAATATACAAGATGAAATGCGTTGAGTTGCTAAGGGAGTGACCATTTGATATTATTAAAATTATTCTAGCTCATGGCTTTGATTAAAAAATCTGGTTTTACCACTGCAGCTGAAAAATATCTAGTCTCCATACAAAATTCAAATTAGTTTTATGATAAGGTCTTCATAGGTAAGAAATTTATTTCAATGGGAGGACTCTACATACAGCACATATGTAATACACAACGGAGATGGTGTTCTATCCGACATTCAGATAACAATCAAGAGGAATGTACTATTTCTGTTACAAATGTAAAAAGTTCTTTCAACAGATACATGCACATATTTTATGCAAACATGTCCGTACCTAATATGCCATGTTATCATTGGTCTTGTGTTATAAATATTGAGGTTAATGATGCACTGTTCCGAAAATAGAATCACCTCCGCGTGTGAACCATACATCAGATAACATTGAGTGTGTTAGGTTTAAAAACATCCATATATCTTTATGCCATTGTATCGTAAAGAGTGTCAGATCATGTCCGTGTTACATCGTATCGTCACTATTGGATGGTAATTCATAAATACATGCATATGATAAAGTTATTCGTTATTTTGATATCATGGTCTTATGTATAATTTCCCGCTGCCACTACGATTTTGTCAAAGACTTTATAAATTCAATGACTATCTTCACCCGGAGGATATCATTTAGATCGGGAAAGAGGTCCATATGACGTTTTACCTAATATATTTTAACCGATTTGCAAACAGACGTTTCCTGATTTACGTGGATCTATGTTATTTCTCGCAAAGTCTCAGTAAAGGTTCAGTCATCAGATCTTAGTTAATATTGACTTACGAACTTTAACAGCTTTTCAAGAACCTACTTAAAAGGGAAATCTCCTCAGCTTACGCGAATATTTGTATTTTGAGAGGCAGAGGCAAGGAAAAACTATTATGGTATTTCAAGTTCATCGACTGTGCGTTTTATAGAGATTGTGGTATCGTACCTGAAGAACCTTGGCTTTGCTGTTTTTGATAGTTGACATGAACGTTTGTTCAACCATCTTAAACTCTTCACCGCCAGCTGCGACTTGAAAACACTCAATATTAACATCATCCGCCATTTTCTGCCAGCTCGGAGGTAGGTCAAATATTGATTGTTTGGCCTCTGAAAAACAACACGTAGGATATAAATACAATTCATTAAGTATGACACCTACACGAATGTCACAAGGTATATATTCTCTTCACGTAAGGATAGTGTGTAGTTAAGAAGTGTGGTTCGTATGTATTTGCTTAAACAGACTACTCCTTGACCTCGTCGTTGAGAAAAATATGAATGGCTGTATCTGCTAATACTGTATGCCGAATTAGGGTTGACAGTTTGTTGTCCACCGTGTTCTAATCACAAATAAATAAATAATCTCTGTACATGTTGTCCTATTCATCGTGGCATTGAAATTGAATATATTTGTCTTCAAACACGTCGCCTTAGTTGTCAGATGGCGTTTTACGAGTGTCTATATATACTATCGGAAAAGTATAACTGTGCTTCACATAAAGTGGTGTAAACGTTATGTTATTGAAAATAACAACATAATATTTGATCACTCTTCTAATCAATGTTTTATCACAACGAATTCGTTGACATAACCGATACATGGTAACAGGAGACAGAGCCACACGCCCTCACAGAGTGGTGGTGTAACAGCTCAATTAACAATGCCACAATCGGATGTGACTACCATATGCGTTGATACAGAGCGGTGGTGCATTGAAGACACGAAAGACATTGAAGCCCTGGCATTGCATAAGCGTTTGTTACGGTTAAACAAAAATGTTTTCATGGGCACAATAGTTCTACAATTATTGTGTGCTGTTCACATGACAAATACCACGTGTGTAATTATCATACTCCCAACGAACACGCAAAGATCCTAATCGTGCGCGTGTAAATTGTGCATTTGACCTTATAGTCGAGGAGATGTCTTAAATAATATGTATTAAAAAGTGTATTATATAACTTTATATTAAATTTATTTTTAATGAAAGTTATGTGAAGCACAGTTAATTATTCCGTTAGTATATTTAGATACACTTTAGATAATACTATTTTCTCACCCTGCAAAAGGTCTCTTCGCATGACATTGTATGTTTTCTTTGCTGCTGTTCCCTCCAAGGACGAAAAGTCGATATCGATATTGGTCTTCATGAAAGGTACCTTGCACGACTTCTTATTGTCTGTAAATGCCTCTTCGATTGCTGCATTTTCCTTCTTACCAAAGTCCTTCTTATCGGAAGGACTGTCTTTCTCGAAATAGGCCCACTGTATTGTTCGAGAGAGTAGGGTCGCCTTTTCTGTTTCGCTCTCCTCCTTCTCAATGTCACGTAGGTATTGAAAAACCTTTCCTGTGGCAAGCCCAACCTCACCTCTCAGTCCTGTCAGTTCTATAGCTCCTTTGTTTCTGTCGACTCTTAGCTCCACATCAAAGCGTTTATGCAAGGAGTCAATCTGGAAGTATATTTTCTGTGTCAGTAAATCGTCAGGATGCTCGGCATCCTAAGGGTATCTACTTCTAATCCAACAATTAGGGATTCGAAAGTATATTTATTATGATGCAAATAACAATTCCAAAGCATCTGAATATTTATCTAAGACTTTTCTTCGAATGAAATTGAAATTCACAACAAATTATAAAAGGGGGAAACAAAAGTGGATTGAAGAGGCTAGTAAATAATAACAAATATTTGAGAGGTTTTTTGTAGAAATACATTTGCAAACAAAAACGATAAAACCTTTTCAATAATAATAATTAATATGTAGCAGAGTCCGTTGTACGATTCCGACTATTTCATAAGCATGATATGCTTGTCGTGAGAGGCTCCAAACGGGATCGGCAGGGCAGGCTCGCTGACTTGGTTGATGCATGTCATCGTATCCCAATTGCTTGGAACGATGCTCATGATGTCAGTCACTGGCTTGTCTGGTCCAGACTCGATTATTTACAGATCGCCGTCATATAGCTGGAATATTGCTGAGTGCGGCGTTAAACAACAAATCATAAGCATGAGAGAGGTGGAGGAATAGCCTTGTGGTTAAAGCGTTCGCTCGTCACGCCGAAAGCGTTCGATTCCCCACATGGGTACAATGTGTGAAGCCCGATTCTGGTGTCCCTCGCCGTGGTATTGCTGGAATGTTGTTAAAAGCAGCGTAAAACACTCCTCACCTACTCACTAGTACTCACTCATAAGCATTTGTTTATGAATCACTACCAAATAGTGTTTGCGAAAAAGTGAGCGTATCCGGATCCTGCCCTCAACAATTGCAAATGCAGGTCAATTGTTCATTTGAAAAATAAATCACACGGGAATATGTGGTACAACATCATTTTGCTCATTGACGGACCAAATGTCTACCATAAAACTTATTTAAAGCTTCTTTAAGAACGTGGTTGTTGTAACGCTGATCAAACAGATTTTGTGCAAGATTCGTATGACGCTCTTTCAAATCTTCGTACAAAGAGCATCCTCGATTGTACCTCAAACGTTGTGAAATGAAGACACCAAGGCCTGGAACTTCTGGAATATTGCTGGACAGAAAGGGACGGATGAGGCGGGCTCACTGGTCTCCTATATTTCTAGTTCAGGTGGGTAAATCAGTGGAAGGAAGTTGGGTATTTTAATATTTTTTAACCATATCAGATAATCGATATTCCGGAAGCTTTAAGTTAAATGGCTTGGCCAAATGCCCGTGTTGCCAATCCAATGCGTGGTTTTGGCATATTTCTTCAGTTATTTGTGGCATTATTTGAGATGTCACTTATGGCAAGCTCTTTGATTAAGCATTGAATGCGTAGTGATCCTTATATACAATGGCAGAGTTATTTGAGGCAATGTCAGTGGGATCTACTATAAACTTTTCATAGAGGGCATCCAGTTTCATTTTGTTATTCCAATATTGTTTCCTAGTTTTATTTTCTTCATTTTTCTCATTCTACCAAAGACAACATCACATACTGACTTAAGCCACCCCGATAGACATTCAACAGGTTCATCTTCCCTTTTGGCCATTATTTTATTAATGATAAGAGGAGAAACCATAAAGTACTCTTCATACAAGAAAAAAGAGAGAAATATAAAAGAACAAGAACTACTGGAAACATTACAATGTAAAGAAATTAAATTGGACGAATGCGAAAAGGAAGATATGAAACAAACTTTATTGAACGAAATCAAGAAATTGCAACTAGAACTAGAAGATATTATAAGGGTAAAAACTCAAGAGCAAAAGCAAACTGGATAGAAAAATTTGAAAAACCAATCTCCTATTTTCTGAGTCTTAGAGTCGCGAAACTTTCAGAATAAATCATTCACTAAAATATAAGATTCAAATGGGCGTTTGTCGATAATCCTACTGATATTCAAAACGAAGTCAAACTTTTTTATAAAAAAATTATACTGTAAACATGATGTCTCTGAAGTTAATCTTTGGCAGATTCTTTGTGAATATGACGTTCCAAAACTAGACGAAAGCACTTCCAACTGTCTCGAAGGCAAATTAACAGAAACTGAAGTACTTACTGCTCTAAAATATCTTAAGAATGAAAAGAGTCCTGGCCCTGAAGGATTTACTGCGGAATTTATAAAATTCTTTTGGAAATACATTGGAAAATTCCTTGTAGGATCACTTAACTGTGGTTTTGAAAAAGGCAAACTTTCCATTTCTAAAAAATTAGGACTTATAACCTGTATTCCTAATTCCTCTCATAAGTAATTGTATCGATAAATTCTACAAATTTTGATCATCTTGTCATCTTTTGTTTCCCACACAATATTTCTGTTCTCAACTTTTGTTTACTGCGTATGTATTACATTGGATAGCCCATGTGTAAAAATGCAACAGAAATAAAAAGTTAAAAAAATAAATAAATAATTTTATGAAATGTTTTTACAGGATCCATAATGATTGTCAAGTTGTGATCCTAACTGGTATAAGGCTGTTCACAGGATTTAGGACCATATTTGACTAGTAACTGTTGAAGGCTGGTATTGTCTTCTTGAAAAACCTCTAATGGCACTACACATGTTCCAAACTCAAATAATGGGCATTTTTACAGAAAAGTGAATATCGTAACCTGATGGTCTGTTAGTTTTGTTATCACTTGGTCCTGTGATGTCTCTGTAATCCATTCCTCCTTGCATAGTGCTTCCAGGTTCCTTATACCATTGGCTATGTTGTCTGATTGGTCAGAGAAGAAGAAGAGATCAACCCTCCCTGTCGAAGTGGTGCCTGACGAAATGTACGAAGAACAAGATGGAACATGCCAATCCTTGGGAAGCGTAAAGGCAGTTATCGTATTGATAGATAAAACGACAAAACCCTTTCCATCCCGCCCATGAATGCAACGAGGTCATTCCATCATGGTTAATAATAATAAGTAAATTAGTTCAGCAAATTCTCAAACACAAAAGTAACTGTGATCAATTAATTTTATGGACAACTGAAAATAATGGCAATAATGACGACATGGCCTATATTCCAACTACTAATTGTTCAGACAAACTAGGGTAGCTAGATGACATTTTTGTGTCTGATGGGTCCAAAGAAAAAAATATTCTTTCTCCCTCTCTTGCCTATCTCTTATAGGAAATTAAAGTAGAATACATTTCACCATAATTTGTGTAAAACAAAACTAATATCAAGGCAGAATTTGGATGTGAAAGTTTGAAGTTGTTTAAAATATTATTTAATATTATTAAAGATAATTTTCCTATGGGGTATCTCTTTGCAATCGTTAACAGCACAAATACAACTCCTGCACCTTATTGGTAAATACTTACCTCTTGTAATGATAGATTGTGCCTGTTGTATTCCTCCTGTGTCTGCCGAGTGTTTCACCATTGCAGCAAATGGTTTTAACATTGCTTCCTGGAATACAACTACTCGAACATCGCTGATGTTAACAGCCTGAGGTCCGAACTCAGCAAATGCTTGTGACATACGCTTGGCAATATCCTCAGGCTGTATATTACCGATGCCTGTTCAGAAAATGTTGCTTGATACAATAGAAGCTGACATATAGATGCAAAATACAACTATGAGAGGAACATTCTGACTGCTGCACAGCTTTTCAGCTTCTTTTTATTATTATTAATATTATTTTTATTATTGTTGTTGTTGTTGTAGTTGTTCTTATCATTATTGACCACTTTTCTTTCTTTCAAATTCCGAAAACGACCACTTCATCTGTTATATTTTCCAATATTCTTCATTTGTTGATTGAGAACTACAACGAAACATATATTCTGATCCAAATATAGATAAAACATTACCAAAAATATGTAATATATTAACACACTCACAACGACTGCTACCAGTTCTAGCCACGTTACCTGTTCCCAGCAAAGGGAATGCTACTGACTGTGCATCACGCAGTTTTTCTGCCTCTTCCAGACAGCTGAGGACCACTTTCTTCCAGTCATTGCCGAAATGGTGCCCGGTCACATGGATGACGTATTTACACTTCAGACCTTTGGATGTCGTGCTGATAACGCCATGCTGTCTCATGTCATCAACTGTAACAGCCAACGAAATTCAAGCATTCTGGTCATGCTACCGATAAAGCAGTTAAGTAAAAGAAACAAGTTGTGCCAATCCAGACTTGAACATGTACTTGCGGCCTGACAATACTGGGTGTAACTATGCATTGGGATCGGATTCCCTTGAAATCTGGATACTCAAGTGCCAGAGCTAATTATTGCTTTGGGGATGTTTCCCATGGACTTGAAACTGAACTCAACTTCTCTCACTCACATTAACAAAACATTCTAGTGGATAAAACCCATTTTGATAGATACTCATAATGACGTGAGCTTCGTTTTCTACTAGTGTAACACCGACCACGAGCGATTACATAATTCACTTGAAATTCAGAATGCTAGATTACATCAATATTAATGTTACATTGATGTTACATTTCCACATAAAAGATCTGAAGTCTTCCTGAAATGTTATTTTATCTACAATGTACAACTCCAGGGTATAGCAAGTGTCTTACACAACTGCACAGAGAATCGATATGAATCTCACCTTTCTTTGCACACTGCGACTCCATATCTTTGCCACATACTTTCCTGATAGCACTTGAGACAGCACCTTAAGGAAATATACCATACTCAGCACACGTAAGGCATTCCTCTTTCAGTTTATCATGTAATACTACTTTGCTATTATCAAGACACGTCTGCCTTTACATTTCATTAAGTATCTATTGAGACAACTATCATGTAAATACAGGTGTTATCGTTGATTAAAAATAGTGTACAGTAAAACAAAATGTATATCTTTATCAGGATTATTGAAAGGAGCATATGTAAGTCCCTTGTGAATTTGTGCTAGTAAAACGTACCTATACTTTCCAATTCCTTTAATGATCTTAATGTGGAAGTAAAATATTCACTATTTCCCTGACATTCTTTAATACGTTCTTTACCTTATGGTACAGTACATCTCTATATTACTCATTTATTCTGCTAATGGTCTTTACATGGAAGTAAGTGGAATGGTCTTCACATGATACCATCCGGCTACTCTATAGTCCTGCTATCTTCTGATATAGATACAACTGTCTAATCTATTGCACTGCAAAGGTCTGGTATGGTATCAATTGGCTCCTCTCTTTTCCTCCTATTTACTGCTAATAGTCTCACTAACTGCTGCCCCACCTTTCTTCAGGTCCAGTTCCATGTTGGTGCTGTTCACGATACAGTCTGTGTCTTCTTCTGTTATGTCCCCTTGTTTCATTTGCACTGTAATATTTCCAAACTGTATGCTACCAGAGCCGGCGGAGGCGCTCCAGGGACCTTCTGAAACAATCCCACGAACCCCTGTAACTAAAACAAAGATGATGAGAGACCGAGCAAGATTAAATTAACGCTGCTTTGAACAGTATTCAGTTGTAGCAAGACGTGTCAGTTTGATGTGGGGAACACAGGTCTTTACGACCTTAAAACCAACGACACGCTGACAAATTAAGCGATACATAATCAGGAGGAAACTGGGACTGGGGTTGATGCCTTGCATAAGACAGCGAAAGTGCGACACCTTACACCGCTGGGCCACCCATTATATAAATATGATTGTATACGCATTTACACGTAACTGGATCATGAGCAGCACGTTTAACAGAATCACACATTTTAATGGCAGCAGGTACCCCTACAGGCCTCTACATCATGGAAGTATAATTTACTCTACACTAGATTTGATCAGGGAGAATCCGCTTGGCCACCCGTCCGTTAGACTTGGTTGTATACGCATATACACGTAACTGGATCAAGAGCAGAAAATCCTCATGAATGGCAGCAGTTAGCCCTACCAGCCACTAACATAGAGATATTATGTGCGCTTTACTCGTTTTTATGCCATTACCAAGAAGGTCAAGATCATCACATCATATTTCTCGTCACAATGGATTAACTTGGAAGTGATTTTGCCAACTTTCTTTGAATATATACTAGTAGTTGCTAAAGAAACCGAATGTACCTTTAATTTAAGCTATTCAATATTTTGACGTTGATTGGAAGCCTTGATAATTATTTCATTATCACACGCGAACACATGTTGACCTTGTGACGCCTATGATTAGTTTGCCTGGAAACGTGAACTTAAAACAATCAGTATCTCATCATCTCATCATGACATTACCTCCAAGAAAACAAGAAACTAGAGATGTTTATCAACGATAAGAACAGGAACATAAGGTGCCACATTTTCTAATTGAGACTGGAGCAACCAGTAAACATTGCAATCATTTCAGTTTTGATTGTCTAGAGTATCTCTGAAGTGAAAATGAATTTCTGTTGATAGTATTGATATCGGATAGCCTAGACCCGGGTTCGATTCCAGACATGGGTACAATGTGTGAAGCCCATTTATGGTGTCCCCCGTCGTGATATTGCACGAATATTGCTAAAAGCGGCCTAAAACCATACTCACTCACTCCCCATCCTACGTTACAGGAAAGTTCAAAGGAATAAATCCTATATCAAATATTGACAAATAGTCCCGCTCTTATTTCTTACCTGTTTTAGGTGTTCGTATGGTGGATTGTTGATTCAATGATTTCACTGATTCCTTCATCTGAGACGAAACTGTGAGGAACATTGACTTCTGGAACACAACCACCCGTACATCTGTCAGGTTGGATGCTTGAGGCTCGAACTCGGCAAAGGCATGAACCATGATCTCGGATATTTCTTGAGGGTTGACGTGACCAGCACCTGATGGCATTAAGTGTCGGTATTGTTATCATAATTAGCATAAACTATTAAGGGTGGTGGTGGGGTAGGCTAGTGGTTAAAGTGTTCGACTCCACACATGGGTACAAAATGTAAAGCAGTTTTGTCTGGTGTCCCCGCCGTGATATTGCTGGAATACTGATTAAAGTGGCGTAAAATGACACTCACTTAATAAATCACTCAATCACTCATTCACTCACTATACAGTGACCTATAGTTGACTTGTAGTATATTTGGGAACGAAACATTAATATATATTAATAAATATAGGTATATTAGCACGGTACATATTCATTCATTGAACACCAAATTATCATTATTTCATTATTAACTTGAAAAAAATAACTTGAACCTACCTGTTCCAAGGACCGGAAGGGCAATCGAGCGCGCATCACCCAATTCGTCTGCCTCTCTCAAACATGTGAGGACAACTTTCTTCCAGTCATTGCCAAAATGGTCCCCCGCCACATGTAGGACGTAGCTACACTTCAGACCTTTCGCTGTCGTGCTGACAACACCGTTCTGCCTCATTTCGTACACTATATATAAAGTATGGTTCTGATCAGTCTTTGGAATTATCGAGTTTCCAAAAACATACGCACGTTTTTACCGGAGAAAGATGTTGCTGCGCAGGTATCTTTGTAAAACACACTATTTGTGCAAAGCCTAGAACACACACTGCATATATTTTTCATGGAGAACCGCAGCTGATCACACCTGTGTGTATGAACATGGCTGACTCACTACAGGAGCCGCAGCTGATCACATCTATATGTATGAACATGGCTGACTTACTACATGAGGCGCAGCTGATCACACCTGTGTGTATGAATATGGCTGACTCACTACAGGAGCCGCAGCTGATCACACCTGTGTGTATGAACATGGCTGACTTACTACAGGAGCTGCAGCTGATCACACCTGTGTGTATGAACATGGCTGACTTACTACAGGAGGCGCAGCTGATCACACCTGTATGTATGAACATGGCTGACTCACTACATTAGGCGCAGCTGATCACACCTGTGTGTATGAACATGGCTGACTTACTACAGGAGGCGCAGCTGATCACACCTGTGTGTATGAACATGGCTGACTTACTACAGGAGGCGCAGCTGATCACACCTGTGTGTATGAACATGGCTGACTCACTCCAGGAGGCGCAGCTGATCACACCTGTGTGTATGAACATGGCTGACTTACTACAGGAGGCGCAGCTGATCACACCTGTGTGTATGAACATGGCTGACTTACTACAGGAGGCGCAGCTGATCACATCTGTGTGTATGAACATGGCTGACTTACTACATGAGGCGCAGCTGATAACACCTGTGTGTATGAACATGGCTGACTTACTACAGGAGCCGCAGCTGATCACACCTGTATGTATGAAGATGGCTGACTTACTACAGGAGGCGCAGCTGATCACACCTGTGTGTATGAACATGGCTGACTTACTACAGGAGGCGCAGCTGATCACACCTGTGTGTATGAACATGGCTGACTTACTACATGAGCTGCAACTGATCACATCTGTATGTATGAACATGGCTGACTCACTACAGGAGGCGCAGCTGATCACACCTGTGTGTATGAACATGTCCGACTTACTACAGGAGCCGCAGCTTAGAGTTTCTCAATATACATTGCACTAAGAGTTTCTCAATATAAATAATACTATGAGTGATTTGTGTTTGTCAGTATAAATATTACTATGAGTTTCTCAATATAAATAGGTAATATGAGTTTCTCAGTATTCATAATGTATCTTACAAAATCCCAAAGTCGCCTTTTTTTGCTGACATCAACGCAATATTATACAAAAAGTTACTCTTGACGAGGTCACTGTGCGAAAACAAAGACCCTAGGACCCAACCCTTTTGGTGGCTAGACCGCTGAAGCGGTCGCTTCCGAGGGTCCTTATTTTCGCATATTCACCTCGTCAAAAAAATTATATCGTTTTGTTATACCGAAATTCACTTAAAAGTTGATGAAGTCTTTAAAACGTCCCGTATTTCATTACAGTAACTTAGCTGCGAACCGTGAATTGTTCGTTGTTTTCTAGCAGACGAGTCAATATTCATCACATGTGATCAAAATTGGTCATGTGACGAGTCAATATTCGAGGTCTGTGTCAGTCACATGATTTCGAGGGTCGACATTGAAATGTGTTGTTTCGTTACGTGGTCCAGAATAACCAATGGAATTTAGAGATTGTTAACAGGGGTATAATAGAGGTGCAAAAGATGAGTAAGAATTTATAGGTGGAACCTGAATGTGCATCGTAGTCCTGCACCATGACTGTGGAATAAATGTAGGTTATGAGACCGAAACCAATCTAGGTTAGAGTGAGTGAGTGAGTTGGGTTTAACGCAGCTTTTAACAGTATTCCAGTTATATCACGGCGTGTCAGCTTAATGAGGAAAGCCCGAAGTGATGCAGGTCTCAGATGTTTACCACTTCGGTGAAACCCACGAGCACGGGTATGGTGCTGACAGACCTAGAAACCTGGATTCGAACCCACAATCATAGGTTTCTGGCGTGCCCAAGGGACGCAACTCCGCACAGCGAATCGCGGCGCCTTAGACGACTAGGCCACCCGTGCCACCAATCTAGGTTAGAAAAAACGTCTAGCAAGTTAACAGGACAACTGTTATTTTAGAGGAGAGAAATGTTATATGTAATAAAAGATTTCACAGACTATTTGTTAGTTTATTTGAGTCCTTGTATTATGGTAGAGAACGTGTGGAACATCTGACCCAATTGTTGCGAACTGTCTTCCTATAACTCCAACAGCACTTCACATAACGCCAATAGCTGCTATAATCAACCGAGCCTTTTCAGAACTATTTATTGTATTGAAGAACATATTCAAGGTACAAAGAATACTTGTTTTTTTAATGTAAAACGATTCTCGTTGTTTTTCCAAACAAGCACTTGTTCCTTACCTTTCATTTTGCACTGTGACGTCATGTCTTTTCCGCATGCTGTGGCGATAGCTACGGACACAGCACCTGGAACAGAAAATCGTGGAAATATTCAATATGTCAACATGTGCAAATAGGCTCACTATTTATTGACTTTTCTTGTCTAACGATGCTCAATATACCAGATATATGACGGCGCTTCTGTAAGTAATAAAGTCTGGACCAGACAATCCAGTGATCGAAATAATGACCATTGTCCCACACTATCGCAATCAACCAAGTCATGGCTACCCGATCCCTTTTGTCGCCAATCCCTTTAGGTTGTTTGGGACCTAGTCTACCCCGCAATCCCTACTAGGGAGCAACAAGACAGTAAAGTATGTGCTGTTTCTAGGCCCAAATCTAAACAGGTTATAATAAAGTTATAAAATAATATCACGGTTATAGAGTTTTTAACATTCAAAATGAACAACATGCGTCGGAGCTTGTTAATTTGTTTTCAGTTCTATACCATAAACAGGTTATACCATGTTCCGACACGTCTTCAGATTCCAAGACGATCCAGTTTCATTGCAGTATATACTAAACGGTTTTCACAACTGAACACATCACAGCTGTATTATAAAGCGAGACATCCTTCTAACAGTTTAACGGTAACAAGCAATACAAACTACTACTGATCTACAGCGTCAACCCGCTCTTTTTTCACCTCTTTGTAGGTCCAGCTCAGGGTTTGTACTGTTGACGATGCAGTCAGCGTCCTCCTTGGTTATGTCCCCTTGTTTGATCTGAACGTTGAGCCGTCCAATCTGAAGTCCGTCCGATTCAGTCTCGGATACCCATGAATCTTCAATACATGTTAAAATGTATGTATTCAAATATAATTTAACAATTTAATGAACGAGATACTGTCCCTATTTCAACAAAAGAACAAGAAATGGTTTCCCTCAACACAGAAAACAAAACTCTCAGCATACCAGTGTTCAGTTGTTCAAAGAAAGAACGGCGATCCTTTATCCCAACTGCTGGCTCAGTTATCTCTCCTGTCTCCATTTGTCTTTTATACTGTTCAAAGGCCTTCGTGAAGGATTGAAAAAGAAAACACATACAAACTCTTTGAGTACAGAAATAACACAAAATAAAATATATTCCTTGTTTAAGATTAATTATCTCCATCGAGTGTCTTTTAATAACAGTATGAGTGTGAGATTCTATCAGGTCATCCCGCATGAATCTTCGACCTTTTTTATGGTAACTGGTGACGTCACAAACTCACAATGACACGCAAAGCGTTGTGATACAATGCAATTACAGCCTTATCTCCTTTGCAACTGTGTACATAGTCTGAACCATGAAATCAGTTGCAGAGCCCAAGTTCCGAGTGTCAAGGGCTAGTAACGCAATGGTTCGTCATTTGTCATAAGGTGTTGTTTTCTAACACATGGAAATATGTTTGATCACACCCATACTACATCTCACGCGAAAGTCAGTTTGGAATGATACATGTATTCAAGTTTCTTAGCAGTTAAGTCAAACTTGCAACCGTCAAAAAAATGTTTCCCTTTCTATGACCACCTAGAAGCTTCAGACGAATGTGTCCTTGACACACATAGCATGTTGCTCCATTGAAAAATCAATTTTAACATACACTATAATCATAATAATAATAATAATAATGCTGTAATTATGTGTTATCTCTTACCTGGATGACTTGTTTGTCTGATGGATAAATCACTACTCGAACTTCTTCCAGTGCGGTGCTTCTCTCTTGAAAGTTATTGACAACTGTGTACATAGTCTGAGCCACGAAGTCAGGTGCATAGCCCAGGTTCCCTGTACCTAGGGCTGGGAAGGCAATGGTTCGGCATCCGTCATCAGAAGCTGTTTGCAAACACTTCAGAATGATATTCTGAAGAACCTGTTCAGGGGAAAGGCAATGTGGAGAAAAAATACATATAATCTAAACAAATACCATCTTTCATGAATGTCCACAAATAGATTCTTGAAATGGTTGCTATGTCAGATAGGATTCGAGCCTCTTGAAAAAATTGGGGTGTAATCATTTTTAGGAACAGGAATGTGACATTTTAGCCCCATTGGGGTTGTGGTCACTGAGGAAATGATGTTTCAAGTGTGAAGCTTTATGAGCTTTACGAATTTACAGGCACGGTCAAAGTGTAAAAAATAGGATCAAAGTTTTGAATATCGTGAAAAAGGAACCTATGTGTGGAGCACCACCGCCAACTACACATATACCAAATTTCATGTTTGATATAATGGCCAAAAATAGCTCTGCCAATATGGCTAACGAGACGGCCATAGTGAAAATCAGATTAGCTCTTGAACAAATTGGGCTGTCATTGGTGGGAAGAAGCATGAAAGTTCAGTTTCACTGGAAGGGTTTCCAAGGAGAAGATGTTTACGACGGACGACGAATGATAGACACTGGTCAAACAGGACACGGCATAAGCTCACTTAACTTTTTCAGGCTAATAAACAAAAACGGCTGAATTGTTGGTTACAAAAGACGCTTCTGATTCAGAGATACAAAAATAACTGGGTTAACTTACATCAGAACTAGAGGCACTTGCAGTGGACAGACAGGCATGATACACACGACATCCCAAGTCTCCCCCAGAACTGACAGCAACATCTCCCGGCTTTATTCCTTGGGGATACTTCACTGACAGCTCATCCTGTATTGTGTTCCCTGCAGCTTTCAGGATCGACTTGGACACAGCTCCGTTGTTAAGATCAAGGTTGTTGGACGTTGAGTTTATGATAGCATCAGCCTATTGAAAATGCTTGCTGACTACAAAAACTGCGATAATATCAAATATAAATGAAAGTGCTCGGGCGTGTTTCTGTGTATATCTACAATTTCAATGATCAGATAACATCTTAGTTGACTTACAATAGCAACACAATAGTAAGACCGTTTATACCGATTGGGAAAGCTTAATGTAGATGCCAACATGAGTAACCTTATTACTGTTCCTTCGCTTCATCATCCATTTAAGACTTCTAATACATCACGCAAAGCATTGCAATTGAAAGACACGCACTACACAAGACAGAGCGATCATTATTACACAGATTAGCACTTAATATACCATACTTACTTTTTGTTTCGCAATTTCGCCTTTGACAATTGTCACTTTGCTGTGTGAAGATGCTTTTTGACCTTGTGAGAGAAAGAAACACAGCCACACTATTCAAGTAACGTGATGTCAGACAGGGAATTGTCTGTAAGCACCCTGAGTGCCACAAACACTGATTTGTGTGCACATTCTAAGTGAAGGTAACTCATAAAGACAACCTTGGGTTGCCAGAACCGTGACTATGCTCGTAGGTGTAATTATTAAACACTGAATAGCGTCAAAAGCAGCTTTAAAAAGCCCAAGTTACTCAATAGTTAAATAACTCATAGTCGAAAGAGAAAGAGGAGGTGTGGTAAAATGAGGTTTAGCCTTCTAGATTATTGCACTTATACAGCTATGGGCATGCATCTGTTCGTAGTTGCTGGTACTAGTCTGGACTAATGCCCATTTTATAGTGCTAGGCAACTGAGATAACATGCTGGCGTGTATCATGAAGACCCCATTCAGGCACAGTATACTGACTCCAGGCTGTGCAGTACTTGTTATAATCCATTAATGCTGAGCACCATGCAGGGTAACAACAAGTACCATCTTTTAACGTCTTTAGGTATGAAACACCAGGGGGTTGAACCACCGACAATACGCTCTCTGGAAAGACGCCGTACCCACTAAGCTACGGAGGCGGTCACCAGAAAAAGAGCTCTTATGTTATATTACATATCTTAAGCTTCAAACAACTCGTAAAAATATTTACGGACACCACCAGTGACTGGTTTGGGTTTTGTAGCTATTGGAGGGCGTAAATCAGTTGTATTGTTGCTCTGTGTCAGCGCCACTCTTCGATCACTAAACACGAACTGTAGAGCCTCGGCGAACAGCTGGGTGGTTTTCCCGTTCATGTCAATCAGGTACACATTCGTCACGCCGCTGTTTGGACTCTCCAGAGTGAAGAATTTCTTAATGGCCTCAACAATGTGCCTGAAAAGAGACATGAAACTAATCATCTAGTAATAAAGATATTGATACATCAGATATTGAATGTAGTTAGATGTTCCTGCAATAGAGTCCCGAAAACACACCATTCGTGTGCATATTTACTTATTATTTGTTATAAAAATAGCATTAGAATAGTATGTGCATATGAGTTAAAATGTGGTTTCTCATTTACGAGACTAACATACACTTGAGGATTTCAATGGGTTCAACGTTTCCAGTTGATGGCAAGGTTGATTTGACTTGGTTGATGAACGTAAGTATCATGTACGAATGACTTACACAACTTTATTGACATAAAGCATATCTCATTCACCTGAACGTTCCCAAGCCCATAAATGATATAACTGATATAACAAAGTGGCGTAAACCCACATCACTCAATCACTCACGCACTCACTCACTCCACAACATACATGTCAAACGTTTTGAACTATTCTCTATTTCAGTTAATTGAACTAACTAAAGGGCATTTCGTGACGTTGTTTTAGACATAATGCATTTGTGAGGTACACTTTGTAAAGACACAAGTCTAGACGACACCATTCAGTCTTGATCTAACCTTGTAGCAAGATTGCCTGGGTACCGAAATATTCCAACACTAAGGGCAGGTAACGCAATAGACTTGTATCCATGTCTGTCTGTTTTCTCCATGCTTAACATGATGGCATCTTTCAGGTCTCTTTCCTCTCCAGCATGACCACCTGACCAACACGGACCGACGGCATGGGCAACCATTTTACAGGGGAGACGTCCTGCACCAGTAGTTACAACATCCCCCGCTCTCAAAGCCTTGTTCTTAGTGTCTTCATCACTCTCCTGTTGAATTGTAGGTCCACCTGATAACATGATGTTTATTGTAAACTCGATGTGAAGATGTGGGAATCCTTGAAATTGCCAGGTATTGTTATCAGGTTGTGTATATTGACAGAATCACAACAAGTTGTTTGTATGTTTGAATTAATCATGTCCTTTTACAACACATATACATTATAAAGCATTAAATAAAAACAATATACATACCTTTATCTGCTATGGCTTTTGCCAATCCTCCAATGTGATCTAACCTGGTGTTAGCTGCATTGACGATGACGTCAACCTCCATAGCTGTGATGTCACCTTTGACAACATCAATCCTTCTTTTCGAGTCTATGTCACAGCTAGCGATAACTCTGGTCCCAGTTGGGTTTCTACCCTGTGGTGAAGACGAGACTGAGGCAGGTATTACGCCAATCGTTTCGACTCTCACTTTGACTGATTCATCAAATGACGTTTCTATGATACATCGACTCTCTTTCTCTGTTGAGAGAATGCCTCTCTTCCAAATATCTGAATTGATGAACCTTCCGATCCCAGCCTTCCTGAGGGTATGTTTCTTATTAATGACTTTCTCTGCAAGACTTGTCAAATCCTGCACAGCTTTGGTAAGGGCTTCCTGGCAGCCACGAACTGTTATCTGTTGTGGTGTCGATTTGTAGTCCAGTTTGCCACTGTGTTTCACCATGTCATGACTAATATCAATGAGCTCACCTTCTCTATACACACATAGGAATCTGTAGACTGGGCTGGGCATTTTCACTATCTGCCTATACACCGAGTTCTGTAGGATAAAGTTGCGAACCTCCTCTTTGATTTCATTAATTGTGTTGTCAAAGGTAACAATTACAACATGGGAGGCCTTCCGGTCAATGTTCAGACTAACAAAACTGCCATATCTCGCCACTGCTGCTTTTTGAAAGGCTGCCCACTTCTCAGTAGACAAAAGGGAGGTATTTTCTTCATCAATTGGCTCATGATGCTCTACGATCATCTCTTTGAGCGTTCGCCCTAGAGCAGCACCATTTTCTTCCGTCGTTGCCATGACAATTACAGTTTCATTTTTGCTTTCAATATCCCATACTCCAGTGATCTTCTTATCCTTCAGTTTGTTCATGACCATAGCCTTCACGTCCTTTTGATCTAGAAAGGAAACCAGTCCCTGGGAAAGTGTAAGTCTGTGTGAACTGTAACTTGTACATCTCTCATACATTAAAACTTTACACTCGTTGATTTCGTTCACTTGACCTTTGAAAATTATCTCGTTATGTTCGACATCGACAGTCACGTTCAAATATGTAGGATACCGCTTCTCAATATCTGCTACATAGCCATCCATCATAAGGAGCTGGAGCTGAAGTGGCTTCAAAGTTTTGATCGGCTCAGTAATCTCCTTCTGTTTTCTTCTGAATTCGTTCTCTACGCCTTCTACAGTTTCCTTCACTTTGGTACCGACTTGCTGTACCTCTCTGGCATGTCCGACTACTGTGACCTTATGTTCTGCATCAGACGTTTTCACGAGAACAGACTTTGACTTGGGGATATCGGTCAAATTCTTCTTCACATCCCCCCACATCTGTTCAAGGGTTGTAAATTCTTCAGTTTTAAATTGATCAATAAAACCTTTCAGAAAGTCCTCTGTGTCTTTTTTCCAAGATTTTGCTACCTTGACAGAATTTGGGGCATCCTCGTTGAGCGTGCATGTCATCGTTGCAGAAAAGTCAGAGAGCCACCTGATTTCGGCATGTCGCTCTTTCAGTCTCCGTTTCAGCTCCTTCTCATCGGTCTTTGAGGTTTGCAGAAACCTACATTTGGTTCCGTCAAGGTTTTGAACAGTAAATGGTTTTGGTTGTGTGTACCAAGATCCATCCGTATCCTCACTGCCTAGTCCAAGACATTCCATGTAAAGCGTCACAGTCAGTTTTGCACCATCAATCGTGTGTTGCTTTGGAAGGATTTTATCTATGGCTGAAACCAGAAAACACATTCATCTGGTTTCAGACTGATGTTAGATCAATAAATGAAATATATATGATTTTATTGATGATGCAGCAAAAGTTCAGTTGCATCGAAATTTGATGACACAGCAGGGTATCGGGTGGGGGTTGATGCTGATATATACGCGCCATGGCCAAAGTTGTTGGAAAGGTGTCAGAACATGCATATTTTATACACCTACCAATTCTACCTATACCATATGGGAGCACGGGTGTCGCAATCGTTTCAGGCACCGCAATTCGCTGCGCAGTTTTGCGTCCCTTTGGCACCTCTGAAACATGATTATGGGTTCGAATCCAGGTCGACCCGAGACCTACACCACGTCCGGCTTTGAGCTGACACGCCGTGATAGAGAGTTTATGAATAGTGTATTACTCCACAAGAATATCAGACATCGAGTCTCACGCCAAAGTTGGCCTTATATTGCAATGACATAAGCTCAGAGAATACAAGAAAGTAAACAATCAAGTTGCACTCAGCAATATGTCAATTACATGACGGCGGTCTGTAAATAAACGAATCTGGACCAGACAATCCAGTGATTGGCGAAATTGGGATACTATGACATGTATCAACCAAGTCAGCGAGCCTAACCACCCGGTCCCGTTAATCGTCTTTTACGACAAGCATAGTCGCCTATTACGGCAAGCATGGGTTGCTGAAGACCTATTCTTATCTGGATCTTCACACTTTGTAAACAGTCAAGATATGGATAGGACTGCAATCATTTATAACACTCAGAGGACTCCAAGCATTCGCTTCACTATCAACATTTCATATAATACATGGGGGGCACGGGTGGCCCAGTCGTCTAAGGCGCCGTGATTCGCTGTGCAGAGTTGCGTCCCTTAGGCACGCCAGAAACCTATGATTGTGGGTTCGAATCCCGGTTCGCCCCGATTATGTTTCTAGGTTTGTCAGCACCATACCCGTGCTCGTGGGTTTCACCGAAGTGGTAAACGTCTGAGACCTGCATCACTTCGGGCTTTCCTCCCACATTAAGCTGACACGCCGTGATATGACTGGAATACTGTTAAAAGCGGCGTTAAACCCAACTCACTCACTCACTCACTCATATAATACATGTACGAGATGTTTGAAAATCATAACACATAAATTCATAATTCATATATAATAAGCCAATCATATCACACCAGGGAAAGGGCCCTGGTTGGCACCGTCAGCTGAGGGCAATAATTAAATTGAGAAGTTCTCAATTAAGCTAGTCATCATTACGTGCTACATTGTACCCATGCCAGGCGGTATGGCACGCCGAATACCCAGGTTCGATTCCCGACATGGGTACAATGTGTGAAGCCCGTTTCATGTGTCCCCTGCCGTGAGTTGCAGGAATATTGCTAATAACGGCGTAAAACCATACTCACTCACTCACTCACGGTATGGCTGTACTGAAATATTGGTAGTGATGTCTCGATGTGTTTTCTAATTTTTTGGGCATGAGTGACCCAGTCGACAGCCTGATTATTTTTCCTCTATTCCTTCGAGGGTTTCACCAGTGGTTAATATCATATTAATAAGACATGCATCACTTCGGGCTTCCCCCACATAAAGCTGACACGCAGAGACATAATTAAATGCTTCCCAAAGTTACGTTAAACCATACGAATTCACACACTACATTGATGAAATTTAAATTACCTCTATAATCCTCAAACTTGACAATGCAATACCCATCACCATTGTGCAAGGAGGCTGTAGCTGGGATTCCATCGGTGTTGCCAGATCTTTTATTTTCAAAGTATAATTGCACAGTGTCTTCAGTACACTCTGCCTTCAGCCCCCTTACAACCACACTGTCACATACAGGTACTTTATGAACCACGATGTGTTGTCCTTCAAGCTTCCTTCTCCTGCACTCTTGTTGCACTCTTTCGAAGTCTGAAAAGTGAGATGATAAGGAAGCTATACTTGTTAATTACTATCAAACGATACTGACAGAATTTTGTTGACACCTGTAGATAGATTGACGTTCATTTAAACGTTTCATAATCTATACTCACACGCTAAAGAAACGCAAGTTGTTTTAAGCAAATAGGTAACAAACACGGAACAATAACTTGATACGAGTTTTATCATGTAGTGAAGCCTGATGGTGTTATCAATATTTTTGGTTGCATTTTGTAAGCCCCGAGTAAAAACGCAACATAAAAAACAAATCGCCAAAACGCGCCATTTCAATGAATATGTGGGTATCATGCACCCATTTCTCGCGAAATCGAAAATGCACGAACTGTCACGAACTGTAGTGGGTATAAAACTGTCGCCGATTCTTGAACCTATCACTACTTGGTCAACAATGCCACGCCTAACTCAAATTCAGAGGAACCAGGCTATTGGACGTTATGAAGCTGGAGAGTCTGTCCAAGATGTTGCCCGTCATATCAACGTTAACATAACCACAATTTACCGTCTCCTGCATTGATACAATGCAACACAGACCACAGATGACCTTCTTCGGAACGGTCGTCCTAGGGTCACCACACCTCGACGAGATCGGCAGATTACCCGTCAACACCAGCGACATCCGTTGCTTGAGAGACCATAGGAACACATAATCGACACATTAGCCGGGACACTGTGATCCGACGTCTCCGTTCCAACAACCTCAGATGTCGCCGACCAGCACGTCGTCCTGTTCTCCAACCACGGCATCGACAAGCACGGCTTCAGTGGGCACAGGGTCATCACAATTGGCGTCCTCGTGAGTGGAGGCGTGTCATCTTCTCTGATGAAAGTCGCTTTTGTGTCTCCCATGCAGACGGAATTTGGCGGCGTCGAGGTGATCGTTTCGCTGACAGAAACGTTGTGGAAAGGGATCCATGGGGTGGACCTAGCGTCATGATATGGGCAGGGATTGGACTTAAATGCGAGACTTGGACCCATGTGCTTTCTGAATGTTAGTCAAGGTCGGGGACACGGCGTCACTGCTCAGCGGTGATCAGACCCCTCGTTGTTCCATTTTTTGCACAACATCAACAACACATTTTCCAGCAGGACAACGCTCGTCCCCATGTTGCCAGAGCTACCATGGCCTTCAATAACACAACATCCTTGTTCTACCGTGGCCAGCCCTCAGCCCTGATCTGAACCCCATCGAACACTTGTGGGAAGAGGTTCAAAGGCGTCTGCACAATGTGCGCCCAGTCCCTACAACTGCTGAGGAGCTACGCACAACTGCTCTGGATGTGTGCTTGAGGATCCCTAGGGCCTTCACAAATCGTCTGATCCACTCAATGTACAGGAGATGTGTGGCAGTGATCAATGCTAATGGTGGTCACACCAGGTATTGACTGACACTTTGGGTATTGACCCGAAACTGTGTAAGCCCTTAACATTTGAAAAAAAACAACCAATTATGTCATCTGCATTTTAATCCATTAAACTGTCTTCAGTCTACTTTTTGTCAATCTTGCCCCATTAGTTATTCTTGTCTTTACTGTTGAAAATAAATAATATGTATACTGCATACTCGACTTGCGTTTTCTTTTGCGTGTGAGTATATCTATTTTCATCTTTAACCTGTCTCTTGGTCTCGTGGACAGTGTCTACCATCAAGGCGCATCATAACAAAAGATGGTGCTTGTTGTTACCCTGCCTGGTTAAATCAAGAACTGGTCGGCTCGAAGTTAGTATTTTGTTTCTGAGTAGGGTATCCATGTTAAACTGCGGCATGGTATATCAGTTGTCTAGCACTATAAAACTGACATCAACTCGTACAAACACACATACGCACGCACGCGCAAATGCACACACACGTGCATACATGTTGTTATAAGAATGTCATAATCGTGAACGCGACGTTAAACCCCCTCACAGATTTTCTTCTCAGGTACAGAAATTATTGTAACCCGTTACACTTATAACGATGTTAGAATAGTGTGGTAATAACGTAAAAGGGAAAACGTGAGCCTTCGTCTTAATTTGAACAAAACTAGGTGATCATCAGTTGTATGAATCACTTCAATGTTACAATGACATGGATAAATACAAGCGACAAATTCCATTCCACTAACACAAGAAATCAAATAAAGAAAACTACATAAAACCATTTCCTTAATCATAATAAATCTCACAAATTCATTCCCATATAATAACGAACCTTTGCTGCAAGCAGAGTCGATTGTACGATTTCGACTATCTTATAAGCATGTGCTTATGAATCACTTCCAAATAGTGATGATACCAGGTGTTCGCGAATATTGAGTGAGTAAGCTGGGTTTAACGCAGCTTTAAACAGTATTACTGTTATATCGCGGCGTGTCAGCTTAATGTGGGAGGAAAGCTAGAAGTGATGCAGGTCTCGGACGTTTACCACTTCGGTGAAAACCACGAGCATGAAACTGTGCTGACAAACCTAGAAAAATAATCGGGGTAAACCGGGATTCGAACCCACAATTATTGGTTTCTTGCGTGCCCAAAGACGCAATTCTGCACAGCGAATCGCGGCGCCTTAGACGACTGGGCCCCCCGTGACCCCTGTTCGCGAAAAGGGGGGCGTATAATGCCCTACCGGTGGCAACGGTGGAACAAAATATTGCAAAGGCAATATTCATTCATAGATTGTTCATCTAAAAAATAACCAAGGGAACATACGGTAAAGTAACCTTGCAAACGGTATCGAACATTATTCTTGTCCTCCATGTGTTTACTTTAAAACGTTTTGAAAACTTTATTGAATGTTGAAATCAAAGGACATTTAAGTAAGCGTTGTATGAAATCTTCATAGAAGGAGCATGCTTGATTGTACCTCAAAGTTTATGAAATGCAGACCCCAAGGGATGGAACTGCTATTTGACTATAGGAAAGTGGAAGTCATCCTTGTCATACAGTCTTGGATAGTTACTCCGAATCTTTAACCATAGATCTTGATATGAAACAGATGAGACGGTTTCAATTTCTTTGCTAATCCAGGCAGACTCACCACACGACTAACTACATGTAGTTCTTGTAGATTATGTATAGTGTTATCTCTTACCAGGGATATTGTGATCCTCAAAAGTTACCAATGCTTTCCCGGGCTCTTCCCCATACAGGACTTCAGTAACGATGCTTCCATGTGCCCATGCTTCCATAAAGAGCTGTAAGTTCTCCTTGTTAGTTGTGCTGCTCACGCCAGTCACAAGAAACCTGTTCTTGTAGCAAGGTATTGGGCGATGTAACTTCAGTGTCAGATTTGCTCCATCGACCTTGTGTTTCCTTTTCAGTACTTTTTGGACCACTCAACACAGAAATAATGAATTTGTAAAACAAGATGATATAATTGTTTTATTAGATAAGACCATTAGTATGTGACCTCTATTTAATCATGTTATAATAATTGAAAATAGTGCAATAATTGCATTGAACACTTTATTAAAGCTCATGCTTTACATTACAGACCCATAACAGACTCTGATTGGATAATATGCATGTGTCTGGGAATGACTTCAAATGAATCTCTGGTCTGTCCTCAGAGGTGTGTGGTTCGTTTCCCCGACGCATTACAACGAAAGATGGTACTTTTGTTACCCTGCCTAACGGGGCATTACGGGGATAGAACAAGGACTGGGACAAGGCTCGGAGTCAGCATATTGTGAGTGAGTGAGTGAGTATCCATGTTATTCTGAGCTATGGTATCTCATCTGGCTCTTACTATTTAAACCGGGCTAGTACAAGCAGGCACGCACACACGTACGCACAGACATACACACGTCGACATGGCGTTAAGGCCAAGGCACACGCAACACATATGACAAAACATACATGGACTGACGTTCACATTCACAAAACACACAATGTATACACATACACTCAAATACACACACACACACACACACACACACACACACACACACACACACACACACACACACACACACACACACACACACACACACACACGCGCGTACTATTAAACCACATTTCACCTCACCTTCAGTTTATTCTCTATAAACTAACATCGGAAATCATTTAACATCGTCAATTATGTATTACAAAGACATAGGAGTCAAGATTACCTTCTGGAGACTCAAACGTAATGAAGATGACATCATCCTTCCTTTCACTTCCTGTCACCGTTCCGCCTCCACTTCTATTAGTGTTTTCAAAGTAAAATTCCAGAGTTTCAGGGTTTGTATTAGGTTTAAATCCCCGGACTTCAATAGTTCTCTGTTCTTGTTTGTCATCATCTTCATCGTCTTCATCGTCTTCATCATCGTCATCATCATCATCATCAGCAGCAGCGGACGTATGGCAGGGGGGTTCCGTGTAAGCCAAAACCTCCACACGTTGTTTGTTAATCAGATGGGACTTTATTTTGAGGATACGTTCTGCAGCTAAAAAAACGATGGCCTCCGTTATTTCCATATTACAACTATAAAAATCTAAGGGACTAATTTGCCTGTCACTGTAGTATTGTTTTATATAGATGGGGTTCCGAGTGTTATTACTACCAAGAGTTTATGCGAACTTTTAAAAGTATACACAGAAACCTACTTTCAGGATCTTTGAAGAAGACCAGAGCCTTGTTCTTCCCCTTCTTCATATCCACCTTAACTACCTCTCCCTCTCCTCCACCACTTCTCCGCCTGTTTTCAAAATACAGCTTCACACTATCCTCAGTCGTAGAGGGCAGTATACCTTTCACTTCCAGGATGGTGGGACAGTCCTCTGGTGTGCCTATTAATGAAACGATTAACATATGCATGAATAATTTATTTGTAAATATTTCGAAAACCAAAATTTCAGATTGGTCACAGTAGCTGGAAAATACCATGTAAGCATGTGGCCAACTAATTTTTGTCAGGGGTTTACAATACTTAGTTGTAATGCTATGAAGGCCTCAAATCATATACCCGTTAAACCAAGGAAGGACTTCAATGTCAGTATACAACTCAGAACTCTTTAGACAACAAGCTACGACGAATTACTGATGATCTGTCTCGAGTAAATGAATGATGTTTATCCCGAGCCTTTCGTGAAGGACCTGCACCATCCATTCACCAGGGATAGATCATCAGTACTTCTGAGTTAAGGGTAGGTAGAGTCCTGTGTATTATTCATTGACATTTTATGAGAGAAAATGAAGAAAAATGAAGGCAGCCTTACGTAATGTAATCGATTTGTGACGTCATGAAAAATGGATGACGTCATATATATTTTTCAACAGTCTAGCACTGTGACGACATATGACTTTAATTGACCAATCAACATTGAGAATTGCTAAAATACATATGCGCATATATCGGAAAGTTATCATATCGATGATTATATTCTTATGTGTATTGTGCGTTCCTTGATCGAGATATATAAATTGTGGAAGATGCTGTTCATTTCATTCTGTGACATATATATCTTTTAACTTTTGTATCTGGTATAACATGAGCCAGATATACCATACCTCTACGCTTCAGTTCATCCTGTTTCTGTGAGTCCTGGATAGGTTTCGGACCTGGGTGTTCAGAGGCAGATCGTTGTTGACTGGGTATTGTTGAAGGATATGTCTGCTCTTTGAGATGTGCCCCAAACAATTGGTGGGGAGAAGGCGAACCCTGTGGATGCATTTGGCGTCCTTGTTGGTAGTTTTGAGCTCCTGGGTAGCTTCCTGGTGGATATTGTTCAGTTGGTGGATAGGGTTCTTGATAGTATGGTTGGAGCGGTGGATGATGGTATGCCTGGGGTTGATTTGGACGTTGGTATGGTTGACCTGGTGTTGGACTTTGGTATGGTTCACCTTGTATTGGAAATTGGTAGAGCTGACCCTGTGTTGAATGTGGTTGGTGTGGTGGATAGGTACCACATGGGTATGGGAAATAGTTATTTTGATCTGGTTGTGGAAATCTCCCAGGATTGCCATATTGAGGGGGTCCAGTTGCTTGAGCATTTTGCGTGTGTTGAAGGTGTTGTAGGTGTTGTGGGTGTTGTGGGTGTTGTGGGTGTTGTGGGTGTTGCGGGTTTTGCGGGAGATTCCAAGGGGCATTATAGTATTGCTGTACAGTGTCAGGGTATGGATATATCCCAGGAAAGCCTGTCTGGATGTTCTGTGAAGGACCTACTGGGTGCATCTGTCGAGCAGGTCCTTGATGCATGTTCTGTGTAAATTCGACTTGTTGCAGTCTTGGGCCTTGGGGAATTCTAGGTGTCTCTGGAGATACCTGAGAGGATTGGCCAGCAGTCGGATGATCTCTAGTTGGCAGATGCGTCAGATACCCACTACCAGGTGTCTGACATGGGGAATTTGATCCATGGCCTGGAGATACCTGGGAAGAGGTAGATTGGTCTTGATTGTTTGATAATTGGCTGTCCCCTTTGGATTGTTGCGACTTCGTAATTTGTTTTTGGGAAGTTAGGGGTGTTTGAGCATGTGATGGTACTAGAAAATCGGAAACTGGGCTTGAACTTATTTCCTGCTCAGTGACGCTCACGGTCTGGACATCAGTATGTTGGGGTTGTGCAGGGGCAACCGTGGCGTGCACAGGATCGTGTCTTGCTAGGGGCTTCTGTTCATCAGTTCTTATATCTTCTGAAGGTTGGGGGCTGTTTGAGTTACATGGTGGACCTTCTTCCTTGATATTAGGTGTCTGGTCCAGTTTAACATAAAAGCTTCATTACGATATCAACTTATTCACTACACATAATGGTTAATTAAACACATATATTTTTCAAACAAAGTTCCTAAATGTTGACTTTTTGTCCCAATGATCATGAAATATTGTTTTGTCCTAAAAATATCAGGGATATTGTTGTCATACGTACAAAACGTTACGACTGATATTGCTACACATTTAATCACTGATCTCACAGTATTTTTCATGAAAAAATGACAGTTCTATATTTTCAAATATAAGAGTTACCAATACCGTGTTGTAACGTGGAGGATCTTCCAGCCAAGGTTCGGGTATGAGCTCGTCGGGACACCTCACCGCCGATATTGTCGACACGCCTCCCTCGTACCTACACTCTGCCATCAGGTGCTCGGCCAGTATCTTGCGTGCATCTGTGCGATGGGACAACGAGAACAGGTCACTTTTCGTCCAATCAGTGATTCAACGTTGATACACTTGTAACAAGATGTTACAGAAAGACTTGTACCATGTACAGTGTCAGTTAACATGAAACAAGCTAGGTTTGATTTGTTTTGATGACACGGGTACGTTGGTCGAGATACCTTTAGATTTGTCTCTAAGCACATATCGATTGGGGTCGCCCCTACTCTACCTAATGCTACTTTTCTGAACATGAGGCTGGTGTAGAAAAAGTGTCATGCCTCTCTTTGGATCAAATTTATATTTCACTTTGTATTCACACCCAGTATGTCCAGTGATATTATATTTAACATAGTGTCATGGCACGTCCAAGTGACATCGGACACACACACACACACACACACACACACACACACACACACACACACACACACACACACACACACACACACACACACACACACACACACACACACACACACAGACAGACAGACAGACAAACAGACACACACAGACAGACAGACACACACACACACACACACACACACACACACACACACACACACACACACACACACACACACACTATACTATTTTAATTTTAATATTACCACGAAAATGTTTGTGTATTCGGCAAGCATTTGGGATTGTCAGGACAAAGGATATTGACTTGAAGGATCCGTTTAATAAAATAATGACCATAGAAATGGGTACTTTGATAAAAATGAAAAATTTCCATAAAAATGTATGGCGTCATTTCGACAGTAGTAGCATAGGTAATGGTGTTTCTGCCACAACCCCCACTGGAGCCAGATTTATATACCTATACTGCTACTACAGATGGAATTTTTTATGTGTAAACGCTGATGCGATTCAACGATCGTCATGATTCGTATTAAAAGAAATATCAATATTAATTAATCATGGATAAAATTTACTATAGCCCACGAGGATATTGGAAAGGTATAGGAGCAATACAAAAATTAGCTACTATGGCTAAGGTATCTAAAGATGTGGCCAAGGATTGGTTAAAGAAACAAGCGATGTGGCAAATATACTTACCGGCACAGCGTTATATCCCGAGGAAGAAGTTTGATATTTTTACAATGAATGAAGTTCATCAGGCTGACCTCTTGTTTCTTCCCTTTGATAAGGTAAGAAGCAAAATGTCTAAATACGCTTTAACCGTAGTGGATGTGGCTAGTCGACACAAAGAGGCTGAGCCATTCACCTCGAAAGATTCAACAGAAGTAGCTAATGCACTGAGCCGCATATATAAACGGCCTAAGTTATTTCAAGTAGATCCTGGTCGCCAGTTTATGGGATCAGTAACTAAACTGTTAACAAAGCACGATGTTGAAATCAGGCATGGTGAAAAAGAGGCCCACCGTAGTCAATCTATCATTGAAAGATTTAACCGAACATTAGCTGAACGTTTGTTTGGCTATCAGTATGGGATCGAAATGAAATCGGAACAATTAAGATCAACCGAATGGGTGACACGTTTATCAGCTGTTGTATCAGCACTGAATAATGAAGTAACGAGATTATTCGTGAAGAAACCATCCGATGCGATTAAAATGAAATCTGTGACTTCCAAATCTTCAGCACCGAGGAGAGGCAAAGAACAAAAACTTCCGGATAGAGTAAGCGTAAGATATTTATACCAGCCCGGTGAACTCGAAGGAGGCCAACGTCGCGCAACAGATCCGATTTGGTCCCTTAAGATATATAACATTAGTCAGCTGGTTATGAAAGACAGAGAGCCTATTCTTTATTATCTTAAAGATGGACCGGGCAGGGCATTTGTACGAGAAGAGTTGCTCATAGTTCCCAATGATACAGTATTTGCACCATAACCATAAGTATAGGTAGTTACACCATCCTTATCAATCCATCTCTTTGTATCTAAGGGGGATAATGATGTCTTGTTCATTCTTAATCCATATATCCTGTGATTGTCACTTCTGAAAGTGTTCATCTCGTGTTTGAATGTTCTACCATTGAATAATGCTTCTTTATACTGTTCGTGTTTGATATGCTTTTTTACCTCATACTTCTTAACACCCTTAGCTTTTCTGATCTCCCCATTATCGGACTTCTTTATAGAATACATCTTAGGTCTTAATCCGATATACTCTGCAATAGGGGTCCCAGCACATTCATCCTTCATCTTACCTAACACCTTTTTATTTACTATGCTGTGCAGTGGATTATCTTTTGGGTAATCGCTTGTGTCGTACATATCTATTTTTTCTGCCATATCTTTATAGATATCCTTGGTTTGTATTTCCATCAACAAAGAATCTGTGTCGGTATGTAACACCTCACACCTATCGCCATATTGCTTCTTAAGTTCAATGTAATACAAGTCATACATTAAGTGTTTTGACAAGTCAAGAATACTCATTCCAACGTACACTTGTCTGTTGAATTTTATATTACTTTTCCGCATACGTAATATCTTGGCTTCTGTTAAAAGCCGGACTGGCTACAAGTTTCCTGAGTCTTTCTTCCTCATTAGATCTGACCAATTTAACATCAACACGCTTCCTTAGATTCTCCATAGTTTTACCAAATACTGAGTTATTCATGAGCTTATATAGGTTCTTTTCGAAATCGCTGGTAGCCATCTTTCTTAAATCTGTGTTCAGCCTGATATAGGGCTCCATCCAAGGTCAAACTTTAGAACTCTGTATTTTCTTTAGTTTCATACCTTACGATAGATATAACTGGAGATTTCTGTCGTGAACTATATATTTTGTCTTATCCATCAAATTTGGTACGAGTTTTTCTACATAAGCTAACCTAGTATTACCCATCAAGGAGTGTTGATATTTAAGGTGTGATTCAAGGGATGGTAATTTAGTTTCGTTGAATCTTGACCAATCATCCATATATTCGTATGGATATACACCCTTTCTAAGCAACTAATGCTGTGTTAACCAATCAGTATATTGATTTGTTATTGCAAAGTCATGGGGATTGTTCGCATTAGCTAAATTGTCCAGGGACGATAACAAAAACTGTATGGAGTCTATGAATCTAAGTCCATTTCTTTGCTTTATTCTGGCTTTCCCATCCTTGTCTGTATAATGTATAGTTTTAGTCAGCGAGAATGATATGTATTTTTCCATATTATAAGGAATGCATGTTAAGCCGCCGTCGGTCTTTGAGATAGCTTGCATGATGAGATGTGAATCATATCCAAGTTTTTTACCGTAAACAAGTAAAGTTTGAATTGAATGCCCCTCTTTACACAGTTCATCATTAATAAAATCTAATCTCTCCATTCTGCGCCTGGCCCATTGTGACTGGGCTTTTTCGAGTTGTTCTAATGCTTTATTATGTCGTTTACGCTGCTCTTCAACTCCTTTAGCATTTGATTCCCTCAGAATAGAAAATAAATAATTACTCCCCGAAAAATCTAGAGCATTAACAATAGCTCCACCGACCATCATTGCAATTATTGCCATATTTATATGTTTTATATGAATATAAAATATTCAAATGTTGAAAAATATAAAATATTCAAATGTTTAATTACTTCATTATGTCTTCTGGGATAAGCCCTTGTTTGATTAGCATGTCTATTGTTGCCATTGCCATTCCAATCAAGAACCACCATTCCAATATCATAACCATTAAAATCTAGCTTGGGTGGTGTTGCTTTAGTAATCATTTTAGCTATACCATCATATCCAATGGCCAAGCCGCTGACCACCGCTGAATGATAGGTTGCGTTTACCAACATTTTACCGTCTGTAACTGGATTAGTCATGCCTTTATAACATCATATGAGGGCTTAACTCCAATTGAACTTGTGATTGTGCAATCGGAGGTGACGTTCTCACTTCTCCGGTCTTATAAAACAACCATACCGCCGCTATAGCAACAACCCCTAGTGTATAGGGAGCCCAAGTTTTAATCGGACGACTATGTTCAATATTTGAATTGTGTATTAGTTTTGACCTCCTCGCTAGTGCACCCTTCCTACCAGCTGTGACTTTTTGATGATTCTTAGTCACTCTGGCTTGTGATTTCGCAATCGCTGGTATTTCCTCGTTCACTTGTTGTGATTGTGCAATCGGGGTTATTTCCTCGTTCACTTGTGGTACAATCGCTTGTGATACAATCAGGGTTATTTCCTCGTTCACTTGTTGTGATTGTGTTTCCACAATGTGTTGTGGTGTCACTTGAGTTTCCATTATTAGTAAGTGGGCACTTATGTTTAAGTTGACAATACCTAGCCGTTATTAAAGCGTGGTCACCAGTGCTAAGAACTCTCTGTATCTATGATAATACTTGTACGTACTAGCTACGACTGTGTATAGTTGTAACATAGTCAAACCTATTGTTTTAGTCATGGTAGCTCCCAGTCTAGACTTGTAACACATGCACAGTTTTTTTATAATTTCTTCATCGGTCATCAATTTCTTCAATGGTATAATTTTCCCCCAAATATTGGGAACATTTTCCACCAGCTACCAAAGCAGCGAGTCTTTCTCTATGTTTATCTAGAGATTTATCTACATGTTGATCTGCATGTTGATCAGGTTCTTTGAGCATTTGTTCGATAAGTTCATCTAATTCAATATTTTAATATATTTAAGATATTTAAGTTTAACATGATAAAATATAACATATCCAATACAGCCTGAAATAATAAACTGTTGCGCAAGAATGAAGATTTCAAGCCACATTATTACATAATAACCGCTAATGTTCAATTTATCGTAGTTTTGCTATTTTTGCTATATTTTGTCTATTTTTGCTATATTGTTGCTTAGCAGTTGCTATATTTTTGCTAAGCAGTTGCTATAATTTTGGTCAGCAGTTGCTACATTTGCTATATTTTTGCTATATTTTTGCTATTTTTGCTATTTTTGCTATAGTTTTTGATAAGGAGTTGCTATATTTTTGCTTGGTAGTTGCTACATTTGCTATATTTTTGCCATATTTGTGCTATTTTTTGCTATATTTTTGCTAAGCATTTGCTATATTTGCTATA